AAAATTAAATTTATGTTTTACTAAATTAAAGGCTTAAAACTATAATTATTTAAGTATATTATAATAATCCTTTAGCAGGATATTTTAATTTATAAAAAACTAAATTTCTAGTAAAATAAAAGTTCTTTTAGCTAAAAATAAAAGCTATAATAAAAACTTTTACCTATTTATGCCCTATATACTAATATACCATGATGCCTTAATACCAACCCTATAAAAAACTATCCACCCTACTAAAACTAAATTACCCTTTTTTTAAAATTAGCATGGATTTTATTATTGGCCTACCACCTACCATATATTAAAAATAATATATTAATACTATTTTTGTAATAGTAAACTACTATATAAAATAGTATTAATTTATTTCTATTTTAATATTAATCCAAGCCCATAAACTAGCCAAAGTTTTTTATTAAAATTAGACTTTAAATTATGGCTAGCCTAAAGGTATTATATTTAACTAAGATTCCCTTTTTACAAGTAAATATTAGGGAAAGCTATAGTTTTATTATAAAACTAAATTATATTTATTAACTGCTTTTCACCCCTAAATTAATAGACAAACTAAGTAAATTAACCAGGTTTTAAAATAGTACCTATGCTATTTTACTATAAAAAATTATTATGCCTAGCCTACATTACTTAAAACAGCATAATTTACCTGTAATAATACTAAAAATATTATTATTAAAATATTACTCTTTTAGGCTATATATAGCCAAGACCTAGAAATTATAGCATGGTTTAAGGTTAACCCTAAATAAATAAAGGTACCAGCTACATTAGCCAGGATTAAAAAACTTAAAAAAATCTAAATTAAATATAAAAAAAACTAGAAAAAAAACATGGAATATTATTAAACCTACTATAATAAAGGCTGGAAAAACATAAAATTTAAGCTAAAATAACCTGTTAAACTTAGTACTAAAAATTTAAATTTAAAAGTGCTAATAAAACTTAAGCCTAAGTTTATTAGTCCCTTTTAAGTACTAAATAAAATTAATTTTATAGTATATTAACTCCTACTCCCCAAGAAGTATTATTAAATATATAATATTTTTTATATCTTGTTACTTGAGCCTTGGCACAGTAAAATTAATATAAAAACTATGCCTAATTTAAAAAAAGACAAAAAATAGGAAATTAATAATATTATTAGCCATAACTTTATTAAAAATAAAAACTTATACCTAGTAAAATAAAAAAAATAGCCTTTAAAATATAATTAATAGGTTTTTATTAAAAATATAAATACACTAAATCTTATTTAAAAGTATAAAAAAAGGCAAGCGCAGCAAGATAGTTATTTATTATTTANATAAAGTATTATTAAGGGGACAAGGCCTTAATATTACCAAGCTATTGCCTGGTATAATTAAACTAAAAAATAATAAAAATAAATAACCAAGGCGCCAAAAAGGCACCGGAAATAAAATAAAATATTAATTTTAAAAAAGTAAAAAAATAAAAAGACACTACCACTAATACTAAATATATAATAAACCCGGCTAAATGCCCTTAATAGTAATAAAAAACTCTATCTTAATATAAGCAAGTCTAGTATTAAAATCTAGAGTATTAATAAAATAAGCCTAACAGGCAAGCTTAACTTTTTTTTAAAATTAAAATTTAGTAATAAACCACTAAACGTGGCCTAAATTATTAAAAAAAAGATAAAGGTATAATTGTAAAACTTTAGCATTATTTTCTATATTAATAATAAAAAAATCTATAAGCTAAATAATGGGGAGTAAGGCATAACATAATAGTACTTTCATGCGGTATTAAAGATTTAACTTTTGCTAGTCCTTTTTTACCTTGCTTAAAAAAAAGAATTTTTTTTAATAAGCTTTTTTTATATTTTTAAAGGCCTTTAGCAATTAAATTATTATAAAGTAAATTTAAAAAATAAATTCCTAGCCCTACTAATACTTTTTATTTTTTAAAAAAAGCTTTACCCCTTTATTATTAGTCCGCGGGTAAAAAAAATAATAGTATTTAATAAAAAGCTATAAATTATAGGCGTCCCCTGTTATTATTACTTTAACCTAAAAAACATAATAAATTAGCCATAAAACACAAGAGAAAAAATATTAAAAACTTACCGGCTTGTAAGTCTTATTATAGTAAAAATAAATCTTATATAAAATTAATATAATAATATTAAATTTATAACTAAATTAAAATAGCATGTTATTATTATTTAAATTACTAGCTTTTAGCGCGGACTAAAAGCATATTAGGTATTATAATACTATTAAATAAATGGGCACACGCGATAAAACCCTGTGGGTTTTACTAGCTTTTCTGCCCTTTTTAGGCTTCTTCTTTTTTTTACTATTTACAGCGCCCTTTTTTTACTTGCCTTTCCCTTTTAAATTATTTAAGAAACCTTTACTATTCCTGTTACTATTTTTAGTGGCAGTAGTGGTAGTCTTTAGCAAGGGAGGGGAATAGATTTTAAACCTTATTATAAAAGCCATAAGATTAGATAGCCAGTAAAAAAATAAAAAAACAAGATGTTAAACTTTAAGAAACAAAATAAGGGAACCAAAGAGATAAAATAAAAGAATTAAAAAAGTTAAAAAAAAAAAAAAAAACTAGAAAGTAAATAAAAATTTATTTTTTTATATTTAGCTACCTGTATAATATTAATAACATAACACCATAATAATTATATTAACCTTTTTATTATTTATAAAACACTACCTATTTATAATCTATTAATGCTTAAGTTAATAAAAAGTAACTTAAAACTTTTATTATTTACTAAAATAGCTATCCCAGCCACTAAAAGTAAAGCTATTTAAAAATAAAATACTAATAAAAAAATACTATTTTAAGCCTTAAAATAACCCCGCATTTAATAATAAATTATTCTAAATAAAAAAACTAGATAATTAAACATAAAACTAAAGCAAAACAACGGTAAGACATGTTTATTATAAAAATTAAAGCTATTTAAAAATTGGGTTAATCTTAATTAAAAAAAGGCTAAGTTATTACACCCACGGGTGCCAAGCCCTAATAAAATAAAAAAACTAATAAAATAAAAGTCACGGTAACATTAACCCAACACGCAGTAATAATATCACTACTATTTTAATGGTATATTTAAGGCCAACGCCCTAGTAAAAAATAATTAGCTAAAAGTTAGTCTTTATGTATCCTAGGCCTTAAGATTCAATATTAATCCCCTATTAAATAGCCTCTTAGTACTTTGTTTTGTACCTGGTTAGCCTACTCAAGGTTTTCACATAAATAATAAAAATAAGATACTAAATTTAATATATTAAATAATACTTTAATAAAGTTAAGAATAGTAATAATAAAGCTATGTTTAGTATTAATATTAATAATAATAGTAATATTTTATTATTATTTTTTTTTAATTTAGCAGCAGGTCACGGACAACCCTTTAATTAAAAAAAAATTATTAAGGTTAATATTTTTTTATTTAATATTACTAAAGCTAATTTACTATTAATTTAAAATTAATACCTTAAGTAACCTAAGCTTTAGCCTTAGGTTATTAAGGCTTAGTATACCTTACTATTATATTAGGTTATATAACTTAACTAGGTTATTAATATTTAAGGTTTTAATTACTAGTTAAGCAAGGCTAGGGTAAGCCCTAAGTATAAGCTAAAGTAAAAACCCGTGTGTAAAGTATTTAAACCTATATTTACTTTTTAATTAGGAATAGCTTAAGCATAGCTTAAAGGTTTATAAAAATAGCCTTAAGGCTAGCCTTTTTTTTAAATTTTTAAGTAACTTTTTTAGTATTATTTAACAGGGTTTAAAATACTTTATTTTTATTAGTTAGATTCCTTTGTTAATATTTTTATTATTAGTAGAGATCTTCGAGACTTGTTGGTCTTACAATCCTACATTAAATAATCTTACTATTTTTATAATACCTATAAATATATTACAAAGTATAATATTAGGTATTATTAAATTAAGTCTAATAATTATAGTAGTAATATAATAGTAGTATAATAGTACTAAATACTATTAGTATTTATAATACTAATATAATAAAGTAATTAATAAAAAATACTTAGTTAATACTATAGCTATAATTAACATAAATAAAATATGGATTTTTATTATATATTAAGCAAATATTATTACGCGATAAAAATTATTATTATATTTAAAAATTTATACTAATTATTATAAAACACGTTACTACTAATAAACATTTGCCTAATAAAACAGTTACCTAATAGTTATTTTTATTTTAACGCCTAATATATAGTTATTTTTAACTTTATTATTGGTTCGCCGTCTAAGCAACATCCGCGGGAACCCCCCTCTGCCCGCATGGCCGCATAAGATGCATTCTACATATGGATGTCTTGCATCCCTAACTCGAGATTAGGAAAAGATACCCCCACCGTATGCGTGCCCGGACTAAATCAACGAATCAGTGAACTCCAATCCCCGTACATGGTCACAGTGCTGCCATGGTTCAGCTGCCTTGATGGGACGGGAACTACTCATCACTTCGCTGTGCTCCATCGGGGAGCATCCTCGCTCCAGATTATTACTGTTTACCATCAAACCTGATCTACAATATCCTCTACCGACAGGATAATCGCAAACAAATAATACGTTGTTAGTTACTATCATAAACATCGTAGGAATGGCCCCCAGCTTTGAAACAACAACCCTGAGCAACTGGGGAAGAGAAAGCAGGTTCCGGCGGTATGTAGGTTGCTTATCTTGTACGCACTGATGTATGACACTCGAAGAGTGGGAGAATAGGACTAGTTATTGCACTCTGCAAGGACAGATGCGTGATCCACAGTACAGACGTCTAGTACTAGCTTCATAGCCCTATTTACTAGTATTACCGGCATTATTGAATCAGAGATAAGCATTGCCTATAAGAATAAGCTCTGCATTATTTGCACATGTCATAGCATCTCCTTGTTTCAGTGCCCAAGCTTAGTCTTTACGGTCATTACAAGGTGGAATAAATCAATCGCTTATATCAGAAACCCAATTGCCCTTTCTAAGTCTCCGTTCGCTGCCTCCAGCGCACGCGTAGCTTCCTCACGTGTGAATCCAAGCTCCGTGATCTTCGCAATTGCGGATTCAGGCCAGCGCGGTGATGGTCTCTGCGCGGGAGTCGGGCGAGACGAAGATGCGGTCACGTTTGCGGGCGCGGTAGGTCCAGGAGCAGGGGTGCTCCCGCCAGCCTGGTGAGTGACGGCGCCAGTTCGCGCACCTACCTCTGCGCCATCGGCACCCTTAATCCTAGGCTCGTCCTCAAACTCTTCAAGAAGGTGTTTGGGAATCTCTGCCTCACCCAGGAACGGAACTGCCTGGTCCTGAATGATGAGCGCGCCGCGGCGAAGGTCAATGCATGCCTGGTGTCGCCTGAGCATGTCGAGACCCAGCAGGAGATCAATGTGTTTTCCCTCCATGACAGTAAATGAGCAAGGGAGGAACATCTCGCCAATTTTGATCTGGGCGGAGTGAACCCGGCCAAGGATGTTTGCTGTGCCGACACCCTTTGCAATGCCGCCGTATCGCGAGTCAACTAGGCGCATGATATTGCACGCTATTGCGCAGTCAGGAGACATGATTGTGACCTGGGCGCCTGAATCAACAAACGCGTTAACTTTATGGCCGTTCACTTCAACAGGAATATACAGCATCGTCACGCGGCCAAATGCTGTGACACAGGTTAGCGGTCTGTGCTCAAACTCCATGCAGGGCGGCCCGGCCAGCAAGCGGCCACGACAACCGCCGCCCCTCATTTAATCTAGGAGTCAACATACATTCAGGGTGATGCTCCATGGCATTATGAAGGTTCTCCGTGACCGCATTCTGGCGGATGATCTCCTCGATCTCTTTCTGGTTCTCCGGGTTGAAGGGGTCGGCGTTCAGCATCGCGATACGGGCTTCCTTTTCTGCCTCCTTCTGAGATTCTAGTCGCTGCTGGTGAAGTAATACTTCGCGGAATCGGTGCGGGTCGTGCGCGACTTCTGCCAGCTCGGGGTTGCGCTGTCGCACGGCGTCGCGCACACGGGGGTCGCCTAGGATGTGCAGTCGGATCATCTCGGGATCAGAGCCCATTTGCTGCTGTTGTCGCTGTTGAATTTGCTGCGGATGTTGAGCACTTGGGCCGCCGATTCCTGTCGGGCGAGCCTGGCCCTGTGCCGATGGCGCACCTCCACGCAGCGTGACGTGAACGCCCAACATGTCCCCCTCTGCAATACCAACCTGCTCGAGTGTTTTGGAGTCGTCGCCGAGTAGTTGCTGATTATATACCAGGCGTTGCGAGGAGGGCGGGATGGTGGTTTCACTTTCAATGATGCTTTTGAGGAGCTCGATTGTCATGTCCGGGCCGACAACCAAAGGGATGAGTTCAAGGTCGGCCTGTTCCGGTCGGATCACGTTTATGGTAATGCGCCTAGAGACAAGCTGTGTTAGTCATAGTCCTGCTGTAGTAGTGATCTGTATTGACTTTATCTCGCCGACTTACATGGTGGCTAAGCTCGGTGGTGCGGGGAAACCGGAGGTGGAGGGGCGATGGTGAAAGAGGAAGAAGACAAGGAGCAGAACGATCGGTCCGGTTCCGACTGATGTCTATTATACACAGAAATTCGGAGCAAGCGGCTAAAGAGGGGGGGAAAGGAGGCAAGGCTGGATGAGGCTGATATGATACAACGACGCGAGGAGCTGATGGGTCACAAGCCGCGCGGAGGGAAGGCCGTAGAAGTTGAAGGATGGAGTGAAGGAACAGGATAAAGACAGACGAGCGAGCTGAAGTGAGCTGAGCTGAGCGTAATGGTGACGATGGAAGCGAAGAGAAGTAAGAAGTACAGCGCAGGGTATCTGAAACGCAAGGAGCTGGTCAGAGCAGTTACTCAGTAAGTGGAAGAAGGTGCGGTGGTTGTTCCTGGTCAGCGGGCGGAGCTGGAGGAGAGAAAGTCACCGCTCAGGCAGCCATCATGCATCCGTCATTCTACAACGTCGAGGTTGCCAGGACACGGATCATTTCCGAATTTGCCTCAAGCCATCTTCATGGGAGATACTGGCTCATTTACTACTTGCTTGCCTGCCAGAGACTGTTAAGTTGATCTCGAACGGATGCTCCGAAATATATCTTGACCCCACTCCATCACTTTGCGCAAGAACGTGTATCCTTGTAGCAGCTACATGCTCGAGGAACAAGGCAGATAAACACGAATCCCGGCATGACTCGAGGCAGCCGAGATTCAAATCAATAGGTATCGCTGGGGTATCCTTGAAGTGCCAGGCTCTCCTCGCTGATGGTGAGAACTAGTCGGCCGGGCGAATGAAACCACCAACCAGAAGCGCTAGAAAAGACGTTTCGATGGGCGCGACGACCCGGAGATACACTACATCGAGGCTGTTGCCTGTTCTGGTGTTGTGCAGACAGGGCTAACCGTTGATGCGCACATGCATATGCCAACGCAAGGACCAGCACCTGGATTCAGGACTTTTGAAGGAACATCACGAATACCAAGGCGAGGACAAAGCTCCTTCTAACTACATCGATACAGTCAAAGCGGAGATTATCTGATCCTGAGCGATCGCCCTGCCTATCTTGTTCCTTGGATCTGTTTTCCAAATTGTGGTTAGAGACGGGCATAGCCGTTGCGATCTAGACTACAGGTAGAAGCGAAGCCATCTGGATCGGTATATGGTTTCTTTTTGCATGCGCTGGCAACCGGCCTAACCTGTCGGCTCCGAACTCAAGAGTCTCAAATGGTTTGAAGACTAATATACACGTGCGCCAACTTGGCGTAACTGCTCTATCCCATCTGCATGACCATACCCTGCTTGATTGCGTCCATTTCCTTCTTGCCAAGTGGGTCTTTCTTGTTGAAGCTGTGTTGCTTGCGCCGTGCGCTGGTCCAAGAGGTAATGTCGAAGCTGTCCCCGCCCATACCCTTTTTCTGCACTGTAAAGATCGTGCCGTGCTCTTGGGCAAACGCCTTGTAAGCCTTGGCCCATTTCCACGGATCAGCAGAACGGCGAGGGAGCTTCATCTCATCGTCTTCATCGTCCTCGATGGCCTTCACAAGCTTATCGGTCTTGGAAGGGCCCCGCAATCCGATGCTGTGCTTCTTGGCGTATGCAAGAACATAATGATCAAAGCGGGAGAAGTCAGGTCCTTCATCGTCATCCGACCCGAGTGAGGTGTACTCTCGCAGCTCGTCGGCCAGCAGAAGATACTGGGCCATTACCATGCCGAGGTTCTTGACTTCCGAATCGGGCTTCAGTAAATCCTTGGATTCCAAGGTGGCCAGCATGACGAGGAACATCTGCCCGAGAAGGTGGAATGTGGACGTCACCGAATGCGCATCGAGCCTACGGTCTCTATTAGCATGTGTGGTGGTCAGCCGGGATGCCCGCCTACATTGTGAATGGCATGACTGCACCACTCATCCAGTAGAAGGGCAAAGCTTGGCAAACAGCCCACTGTTCTTTCCAGTTGTCCTTGGCCTCAACGAAGTCGACGACGAGGTTTTGCAGCACTTCCCACACGCCATACCCCGCGAAGTCATTGAACACGTACATATCGAAGGCGTCTGGTTCGCGCACATTGGTGTGCGCAATCTGGTCGATGAATTTATTGTGGCCGGCCTCGCTGATGCTAAACGGGTGCTCAGGGTGTTCTGCGGCAGGCTTATTGCACATGCACGTTTCGCCCATGTCGCATTTGGCTTCTGACTTGCTAGTTTCTTCGTCCTCATCGTCTTCTTCCTCATCCTCATCGAATTCATCGTCATCGTCATCGTCATCATTAGGTGATTTTCCATCCACTCGCGCCTGGCAAAGGGTTTTGTAGGTGTCGTAATCGGCATGTTCGGCGAATGACTGCGCGAGATTGCGGGAGACCGACACAGCCGACCATCGCTTGCTCGCGCGGTTGGTAGCTGGAGCTGGAGCTTCTGCTTGAGTTTCCTCTTGAGGTTGCGCGGTGGCACTGGTCTTGGTCCGCTTCGAGCTGCCGCCATGGGCATCGGCAGTGCGCTTCGGGGGCATGGCGATTGGTCGAGGTCTGTATTGTTTTGAGCAGAATGGGAAGAGGCAGCCTTTCTGAGCAGGGAAATGGGAAGAGGCAACCTCCAGTTTTACTTACAGAGAGAATCAGGGGTTGAAGGATGGAAACTCGATAGAGACGCGTCCATGTCGCGTCGTGTCAACAGACTCTAGCGCGGTGGATAGATCCATTATCGTCGATCAATAATCAGTGGAAAGCTATGATTTGCTCGGAATGTTCCCCGAGAATAAGGCCATGATGTCAGTAGTTGATCGATCAACTCCTCCGCGCGACTGAAATCTGTGCGACTCGGGTTGCCTAGTTCAGCATCCCGCGGAATCAGCATGCGACACTCGTGAGTCGACCTCGCCTCCAAACCCAGTCTGTGTCTTGTTCAACCACCAAGCTCGAGAACTTTCCTACATAATGATGAGAACAAATACAGAACACTACAGCCCTGATTCTGCACAGGAGGATGGAATAGGCCGAGTTCATAGAGATTGCTGAGCTTTAGAAGCTGGAAGTGAGAGGCTCACTCTATCCGCCGCGCAGACGACACATCCGGCACCCCCTCGCCCTCGACAATCTTCGCCGACAGAATCTCATCAACTGGAATCTCAGCCAGGCGCTCGATAATGTGGTGCAACGTCGGCAGCGCCTCCCATCCAAGCCCGTCAATCTCAAATGCAGCCTTACTGGCCTTCCGAACCCTGGTCACCTTCGAAACCAACAGCTTACTCTCATCCGCATTCGGCACAAACACTGCATACTCCACGTCAGCCTCACCCTTACAGTCCGCCCCGACTTTTGGGATATAGCGGTGCACAAGCACGCCCGCGTTGACACCTTGCAGCGGCCCGGCGTTTGCAGCGGCAGGATCCTCATCCTCCAGGCCCTCCCACCGGAACCGCCCCCAAACGGCCCCCTCCCAGCTTGCCTGCAGGTAGTACGAGGCTTCGCGCTCCTTCGCGCCAATGGCAGAGTACAGCTTGGGCATGCCAAGCTCCTCGCGGCCGCTCACGATCGGGTCTGCGAGGCTCTCAAATAGAATGGGCAGGTACGTCCCCGATACAACCTCTCCGTTCGCCTTGGTATACTGCACGCCGTCGATATATAGCCCCAGATGGCGATATCCGCCGCCACCGAGCCAGTCCATACCGTTTAGCAGGGTTTGGGAGAAGGTTGCAGTGGCAACGGTGCTTGGTGTAGCGAAGGACCACGAGTCGTTGGGAAGTAGGTTTTGCAGTAGTGTCCGGCTGGTTTTGAACTTGATTGACGTTGTCTGGAACGTGGATTTCTGGGACCGGGCAAGACGGCTGAGGCCTTGGAAGTTCTGTCGTGGCCCAGGCATGGGCCCGAACACGATGGGCTGCCGCCAGTACTTTTGGGGACCTTGGGACCACAGGTCGTTGCGCAGGACTTGCGTGCTATGGTCGTGTTCGTCATGGCCATAGATATATTCGGTCATTGATTTTTCTGATTCGTTAGCTGGGATGACGCATAAAGGAAGATAAGCTTACCTTCAGCCGGCGGGAGTGGGCCGTGGGAGCTCTTCCTGGTCAACTGCTGGATTGTTGTTGCGCGGCTGCGGCGGGCTTTCTCGTATAACTTCAATCGCGCGGGAATATCTTCCACGGTCACACCACGGTGAAGCATGACGCCTAGTGATATGGCGTCCTCGATAGCCATTGCACCGCCTGAAGCACGATATGGCAGGAAAGGGTGTGCAGCATCACCCATGACAGCCAGTCGATCTTCTACCCAGGTAGGCAAGTCGTCGGTATCAAGCAACGGCCACACCTTCAACGTGGCCGGGTCAGCCTTTGCGAGCAATTTTCGAATCTGGGGACTAAAGTCCTTGTACACCTCCAGCAACGACTCCTTGCTCGCACCCTGATCCCACTCAGAGCCATCGTGGATCTTGGACATTGTGTCTGGATGAATGCACACAAAGTTGAGCAGCTCGTTATTGGCGCAGGGATACACGACGACCCGCAGATCCGGACTATCAAACATGTACCAAGTCCCCAGCTCATCTGCTAGCTCTTTCGTCTCGGGGTCCTCCAGTGCATCTTTTCGAGCAATCAAAAAACGAAATGCATTCTTCCCTGAGCTGAAAGACCTTAGATTCGCTCCTCCAGGCAGCTTTGTCTTGGCGACTGAATGCACGCCGTCTGAGCCAAGAACAACATCGCCGGTTATCCTTTTGCCATTCTCGAGGGTTATGGTTGCACTATGGGGGTCAATATCGACCACTTTGTTGGAAGTGTGCAGTCGAGCAGGCACGCCAGGGCCTGGAGCTTGCGCGGCGATTTTCAGACCTTCGTGGAGATGGGCTCGATGAACAAGAAGCCAGCGCTGAAGGCTTGCTATCAGTAAATTCCCCAATTGAAGTGCGGGATGGAATGCAACCTACATGTCTCCAGAACCCTGCAGTCTTCTTGATGTCTAATGAGAAGATCTCTGGACCGTTTGGAGGGAAGACGCGCAGCTGTCACACTCGTGTTAACGCATTCCACTTTCGCAGACCAACGGAAATACCAACCTTTTCGGACTCCACAGCCCCAAGATTTGTAGCGTCAATGCCCAGTTTCAGCAGTGCTGCGTTCGCATTAGGGGTAATATGGATAGCGGCTCCAATCTCGTTGGCGAAGCGCGAGCGCTCGAAGAGCTGTCTCCTATTAGCCAGGTCTGTTCATGAATAGGAGGTAACGCTGTACCTCGACACGGTGTCCTTGCTTCCTCAATGCGATTGCTGCTGAGAGACCGCCGATGCCAGCGCCAGCGATGAGGATGTGGAGGCCGCCCTCAGATTCCGGAGCACTACCCATCTTAGTTGTATTTCGGTTGCGCGGTGAAGATGAAGAGTAAGATGCAATCCTACAACATTGGCTGACACGCACTGCTTTGCGGAGGTTATCTTTAATACATTCCCTTGAATCATCCTGCTGCCGCTCTTCCGAGCGCATACTGCCGCGGAGTGAGGTCTCGGGACCCGAATCGGCTCCACGTCGGGGAAGAGCGCGGAGCAATGGCGCGATGCGCGTCGCAAGAGGGACACAAGGTATTTATCATAATCCCAACTGCCGGATCTTACGATCTAAGCCTCTTAGCTATTCAACTTTGAAGGATCAATCGCGTTTCTGGTGCCAACATGCCGAACCCAATCCGCACCGACATCACCACCGTCGACAGCACGTCCTTCCCCTATACCTTCGAGCAGAATGTCACAATCACGCTGAAAGACAACTCCGGCCTCGTCCGGTGCAATGTCTACCGCCCCAAAACTGAGCACAAGGTCCCAGTCTTGGTGACGTACGGCCCCTACGGCAAAGACATCCCCTACGCGGACTTCCACCCAAAATCCTTCAGCGAAGTCAACCCGGAGCATCGCTCAGCACACTCAGCATGGGAGACGCCAGACCCCGCATTCTGGACGTCGCACGGGTACGCCGTCGTGCGCGCCGACGAGCGCGGAACGGGCCAATCCCGCGGCAAACTCGACACCATGTCCCGCGAAACCAGCGAGGCGTTCTTCGACGTCGTCGAGTGGGCCGCTGAGCAGGAGTGGTCGTCTGGAAAGGTCGGCCTCCTGGGGATAAGCTACTATGCGGGCTCGCAGTGGCGCGTTGGCGCAAGGCAGCCAAAGGGTCTGGCGTGTATGATTCCGTGGGAGGGGATGAGTGATTATTATCGGGATCGGTGTCGGCATGGTGGGATTCTGTCGAATGCGTTCATTTCCTTCTGGTGGAATCGTCAGGTTGTTTCTAACCAGTATGGACGGCCTGGGCGTGCGGAGAGGAAGTGGGGGGTTGATACGATCGAGGGGGATTTGCCGGAGGAAGAGTTGGAACAGAATCGTCAGGATCAGACAATTGATAATAGGGTTAATCGTTTCCGCGATGATCTCTACTATGCGAGCAAGGAGTATACGATGTCTGATATACAGGTACGTGCAGCTTCTGTCTATCTTAGGGCAGCACTGACTGGTCCTGCGCAGGTCCCCCTCCTCTCCGTCGCAAACTGGGGCGGAATTCTCCTCCACCTCCGTGGCAACGTCGAAGGGTACACACAAGCCGGCAGCCAGCTGAAGTACCTCCGTTTCATTACCGGCCGACACGACCTGCCCTTCTACTACAAGGAAGAAGTCGACATCCAGCTCAGCTTCCTCGACGCATTCCTGAAAGGCGACGACCGTGCGGGTTGGTCGAACGGTACCGCACCAAAAGTCGATCTCGTCCTCCGCAAGGGCGATGTCGGCTTCAACAACGCCAAGGCTGAGAAGACGTACCCCCGGCGTGTGGAGAACGAGTGGCCGATTGCGAGAACGCAGTATACGCGCTTCTACCTCACCGAGGAGAAGGAATTGCTTACGAACCCACCGGCTCAAAAGGGGTACAGCAAGCTAAGCTACGCTGCCCTGGGCACCCTGGAGAACCCGTCATACATCCAATTCACCACGCCTCCCTTTGAGCAGGAGACCGAGATCACGGGCCACATCGTCGCGCACTTGAACGTCTCTATGAGTCCCAACGCCGGCGCCCCCACACCAACTGATATTGACCTCTTCCTTACCCTCCGCTATATCACGCCAGAAGGAAAGGAAGTCTTCTACACCGGCACAGCAGGCGACCCCGTCCCGCTGTGCAAGGGCTGGCTCCGCGTGAGTATGCGCAAGATCAATGATAAGCATGCTCGGCATAGAGAGTACCTCCCGCACCGTGACTACTTCTCGACCGATGTCCTGCCGGTTATCCCGGGCGAGGTATACCCCGTTGATGTGGAGGTTTGGCCGACGAATGTTGTGGTTGAAAAAGGTGGGAAACTTGTCCTTGAGGTTGCGTCGGGGGATACGCAGGGGAGTGGGATTTTCTTGCATAATGAGCCGACTGATAGGTATCTTGTGTTACCTCCCATGATTGCGAGATTCGGTGGGCTAACCAGGGCAGATCGCCTGAGAAATTCCAGGGCCAGAATCATGTCAACTTTGGCCATGGGGAGAATTACGTGACTTTGCCGGTAATTCCGCCGAAGTAGAGGTTAGCGGAGATCAACCGAGCTCTTGAGTACTGTCACGGAGACTGCAAGCATGGACAAGCGTCCACATCGGTAGCAGATTTAGGAGATGGGGCGTTGGCTGATCTCTCCGCACCCGATGTGGTCCCGAACGCCAACATCGACCGAGGCACCTAGATAGGATAGATATAAGCACAATCCAAGCAAAGCTTTACCTACCTACCATACCTGCATCAGCCATCAATCGCTCAACCTACCCACCCAACAGCAAACCAAACCAACCCAAAATGTCCACCACCTCAAGACCCCCCAAGAACCTCCCCCTCCTCTCCCGCCACATAACAACCCACAACGCCAACGGCCAAGCCATCTTCTCCACAACCCTGTCCCCAACCATGCCCGTCTCCCCAATCCCCGACGGCGCCGACTTCTCCCTCGCCTACACAACATCCACCTACCCCGTGCGCCTGCCCAACGACCCGGAAACCGACGTCCTCGAGTACGCCTCCTACCTGGCGCCCGGCGCCGCGCCGGGCCTGGTCGTGTCGAGCGGGAGCGTCTGCCGCATTGTGGACATGCAGCCCGGCGCCCTGAGCCCGATGCATCGCACTGTCTCGCTCGATTACGGGGTTGTGCTTGAGGGTGTGGTCGAGCTGGTGCTGGACTCTGGGGAGAGCAGGGTGTTGCGTCGGGGCGATGTTGCGGTGCAGCGCGGGACGAACCATGCGTGGAGGAATGTTAGTGGGGAGGGCAGGTGGGCGCGCATGTTGTATGTTTTGCTTCCGGCGGTGGGGGTTGAGGTTGGTGGCAAATTGCTGGGCGAGGAGTTGGGGGAGATGGGGGTTAGGGGGAGTACTTGATTCATCTCATATCAGAGGATTGTGGATTTGGAAGGCGAAGAGGATACATTGTTGGATGTTTGGATTAGAATTGGACTTCCTTTCTGATAGGTTTTGTATACCGGTACTCGAGCTAGAAATACGCAATGAGACTCAACCGGATTAAACAGTGATGAATCCTCGTCGTATTCTGATACCTTCACTACCTATATAAAGCCATGTCTCAGTTAATATTCCCCCCCAACATCATGCCTGAAAATCCTCTCGTTGATTCTTCCTCCCGTCGCCCTCCAAAGCTGCGCGATGCTCTGCGTCCCCGTTAGCCCATACCCACTCAACGTGTATATGTAAACTCCAGTTGACGTACCGCGTTAATCCAAACCCCATGCAACATGACCTGAATGAAGATATACTCCGGGACACTGGACCCCGCGCTGCGCTCGTTGAAGTCCAGGGAGCGGTTGATGGGGCGGTAGGGCGGGATGCGGCGGTGGTCGGTTGGCCAGGTTGGTGGGTTTGCAGTTTGGGATTGTGTTTGCGACTGAGACTGAGACTCTGGAAATGGTGATGGGGTGCTGTGGTGGAGCTCGTAGTCGGCGAGCAGGGAGAGGGTTGGGGGTGTTGCTGTTGTTGTGGTGGTGGTGGTGGTTGAGGACATTTTGGTGATGGAGGTTGGACAGATGAATGGAGATGTGAAGGCAACAGATGATCTGGAGAGTGATATCTTGGTTCTGTGAGAGGAGGTGTTGTCTGGGTCCCACCTAGTGTTGCTCTCCTGATTGCTCCCCCGTACCGCATCTCCCCCACATCCCGACACGCCCACATCGCTGCCAGGCTGGGGTCCAGTCATGGTACGACTGTGTTGTCTGATAAGCATCGGAAGATGGGGGAGAAGCTGGCTATACTAACTCCTCAAGCTCGAGCTTTGCCTTCTGCAGACCTGCCGACTCACCACGATGCCATCTCCATCTCCATTTCCGCGCATCCAGGCCTCCGCCATCGACGGGCGTGCTTTGAACACACGGTACAAGCAAGCCCAGCTGCATCGTCTGCAGTCAGCTCTTCTCCAGAACATTGACGCCATCAAGGCCGCTATACAAACCGACAGCAACCATGGCGCTCCCGAGGTTCAAGCAGAGATTGTGCTCGCGCTGACGGAAATCCGTACACATTATCTTTCTCTAAGCTTAGAGAAAGATCTAGAGAACGAATACCGCGTTGCCAATGGGCAAGATAACCCTGACGCCGCCAGGCCCGCAGGATCGGGGATCGCGTATATTTTGCCGAGCACGCATACCATGTTCTTTGGTATCATTGCGGCAGTATCTGCAGCGATCGTTGGGGGCTGTTGCATTGTGCTCGAGGTCGGCTATTCTCTTTTACATCCGGAGTGTGCTAACGGAGGCTACAGTTGACGAGAACCACAATGGCCCTCCCTCCTCTGCTTCGACAACTCCTATCCGAAGCGCTTGATGCAGAGACGTTCGCCATCTCAGAGGACCGACCTGACGCATCATTCCTGGAAAAGGTGCTTGTGGTTGCGCAGACCGGCGTCCCTTCTCCAGCTATCCCACAGTCCCTGCAGTCCCCGATCAACTCCAAAACAGTTGCCATCGTCGACCGCACAGCAGACATCAAATCTGCCGCCCATTCGCTCGTCACAGCACGCTTTGCATTCGGGGGGCGTTCGACCTACTGCCCGGATATTGTGCTCGTGCACGAGTTCGCCATGAAGGCCTTTGTGGAGGCGATCATCCACCACTCATCAAAGTACCTCTCCGGCGCTGATGGCGTGGAAAGAGAGAACGCCGCTGTGTCGAATCCGCGCCGATCGAGTCCCGGCTTGTCGACTTTGGATGCAGCGTACAAAGACCCCAGTGCCAGGGTCCTGGTTTCCGGCTCCGGCTGGGCTGTGGTCGAGGTGCATGATCGGCAGTCTGTCCTACTGCGGCGAAAGGAGAAGGTTGCTGAGAAAGTGCTCATTCTTCATCCCTTTACCAGCTTGGATGATGCGATTGATCTCTGTGCTGGGTATGTCGAGACCCTGTTTCTTACTCTCCCTTGCATGGACAGGCTGTAGTGCGTAGTGCTGATAATGTCAGGTCCGAAACCCTAGCGGCAACATACGCCTTCGCTACGCCCGCGTCCGCCAAATACCTTACCCAGTTCATTGACGCGCATGTCTCATTCATCAACCATGTCCCGGTGGACGTGCTTATCGGCCCAGCGTACCCAGTGAACTCCGCCGGCCGGGAAACAAGATACAGCGCATCTTCCTTCCAAGTCCCGCGCCCGCAATTCGTTACCGAAAGCTCTACTGCACACTTGGCCCGTGCAATTCTTGACGCTCCCGCTGGTGGTTCGAAGGCGTCAGTGAAGATCTGGGAAGAAGCTCTCAGGCCGTTACCACCAACGGGACAGAAGACGGGCCCGAGAATCGGGTTCTTTGAGAAGGGAATCCTCACGGGGTTGGGGATTACGCTTGTTTCTGTGTTGGGGGTTGTTGGGGCTGTGGGGTACTATGGGGTGGTGTTTTTGAGGAGGGTTTAGTTTTTAGTTACAGTGGATGGTTCTGTGAATGTAGCACCTATCTGATGAATTCATACTTGAAGACTTGCATTCAATGCCTGAGTTAGACCAATGTCCGTAGGTACTAGAGCCCTGGACTTGCCGACCTAGGACCATAAGTATCAGGGTTATGACCCTATGGCCTGTATAGATCCAAGGCCTGACTGCATAAGGCTAACTCGGGACTTCCATGTCCGGCCTCCCTATTCATTGGAGCGTATGGCCTTGTCTGGACATGAATCAGGACACACCGTAACAAAATATCCAAGCCAAATTGACCAAACAAAAAAGCTACTGCAAACTACACCTCCACCAACTCCCCCCCCATCTCATCCGCACTCCACCCCCCAAACGTAAACTGCGAATTACACATATTCGTCAACTCCCAACTCTCCGCCCCAAGCCTCGCCCTGATCCCAACATCGCCCCAATCCCCCACCAGCCCCGCCACAAACAACGCCGCCATGAAATGGTCGTCTGTCCCATGCGCATCCCGATACCGTGGGTGCTTCATCAGCCGACTCATCGCGCGCCTCAGTCCGGGCCCACCAGCGCTCTTGGTGATGACGTCCTCAACAGCCTGCCGGAACTCCAGCGCCCAGTCCTCAGGCGGCGTCTCCTGCGCAAAGTTATCCCGGAACCGCAGCATCGGGCCCCACCGGTTGCGGTAGAGGTTGTGGACGGCCCCGCCCGTGCCGATGAGGAGGTAGTTCTGCTCGCGCAGGGGGCGGAGCGCACTTCCGATGGAAATGTGGTAGTGTGGGTCGTAGTGGGCGTTCATGGAGATGATTGTTGTGGGCGGCGAGGTGTCCGGGAACATGTGGATGAGGATGAGGTAGACGTCGTGGATCCAGTCGAAGGAGTCGTTGCCGACGGCGGGGATTCCGGCGGCTTCCAGCAGGGCGATGCACTTTTTGCTCGTGGGGAGGTCGGGCGTTAGATTGTACGAGGCGTATTTGGAGGGGTGCACGTAGGCGACGGGGGATTTGGAGGGCGTGGGGTTCGTGGATACTTCGATGCCCGGGCCTGTTGTGTCCCAGTGCGCGCCCTGGACATGTTAGAGTGTGACAGGGTGGATACGGGGTATGGGGGAGGGGAGTGTACCATGATCACGACGCCCTTGATGCCCCGGGCCAGGGCTTCCGCGCCGCATTTGCGCCAGTATTCCGCTGATGAGGACTCCTCGCCCAGCATCATTGTTGAGCCGTGCGAGAAGAAGTGGACTGGTGTGAGGCCTGCATGGAATATTAGAATGATGCTGCAGAGGGACGATGGGGTGTTCATACCCATGGTGCCGGGTGGTTAGGGTTACGAGTATGTCGGTTCTCCTGGCTGATACTGGCTGGGAGTGCCCTGAGCGATATATTGTTGGTGATTTATCTAACCATCTTCTAACGGAGCAGCAGTAAGAGGACTAGGCGAGTCTGACACCCCGGACTGGAGTCTAGCTGATACCGGGCCCATCGGAATGCGCCCCCACATTCCGAGACCACGTCGGGCCCAGGAGGGGGAAGCTGGGTAAGGGGTGGGATGATATAGAGACCAGAGACATAAAGTGAGATGTCCTCGGCTATGATGACTGGGAGAAAGCACGGTTGATGAATATGATTGGGATAGCAATGAAATCGAGTCCTCTCTACACTCCATACTGTAGACCGTAGCAACCCCAGACTCACGAGCCCAGGCCCCAGACTCATAGACTCATGGTAAGCCGTGGCCTCTGATTGGCCCCCGCATATTGACTCCCCACGCAATGCAATCGGCACAGGGACTCGTCTCCTCCAACTCTCCCATCCCCGCCTTCTCACCTTCAACATTTCCCGTCCCACCTCCATAGATGCATGTATCGTAAGATGCAGAGCGCCGACTCACAAGGATACTTCCAGTGCGGATTCGGGTCGTGTCGCAAGGCTTATAACCGGGCGGACCATCTTATCCGCCATGTCCGCTCGCGTCTGTCTCCAATTATTGTTCCCCGGATCTTGACTGACTGACGTAGATACCCGAGAAAAGCCATATGTCTGTCAAGTCTGTAACAAGGGTTTCTCGCGGCCGTGGGTCTCTCGAGCAATGTTTTTGGACGTCGCTGATCTTGATGCTAGAGACCTGTTAAAGCGACACGCAGCAGGACACAGCCACTCGCAGGACGGAAAGCGGAAGCGGACATCGTCATATTCGAAGAACGGACGGGTTTCGCAGGCTTGTAAGGCGTGCGCGACATCGAAGCTCAAGTGTGATGAAGAGAAGCCTTGTCGCCGATGTCGGGACCGGAAGCTGTTTTGTGACTATGTGGACGGGAGTGCGCAGGATGCTGAGCAGCAGGGTATGCGTCCAATTAAATGAGCCAGACAGTGCTAGTATTGGTCGTACTGACGATGCAGGGTCCAACGATGAGAACGACCAAGACGAGGAATACTCGCCGCTTGAGTCGCAGACTTTCTCACCACCGAATCCGGACATCAATGTGCAGCAGCTGGTTACGCCGGGCGTGCCGATGGACATCGATTATCTTCCGCCAAATACTGGGCCGTCGACTATACCAAGCTATGATAGTAGGTCGTGCTAGACCAGGTTTAAAAGCAAGCTAACCCAGCCAGCCCAAACCGTCTCACCCCTCGTCGACCACGAAAGCGGCGTCTTCAGCGTCGACGGGACTTTCTTTCCTGAGTTTATCCCCGACTCGTTGGTTTCGCTGTCACGGCCCGGCGAACTCGACCCCTCCGCATTCCCTCCCAACGACTACTATGCCCACCGGCTCTACGACCATGACCTCAATTTTGACTTTGACCTGACAGAAGTCGACTTCGGCTTGATTGACTTCTACAATTCCCGGGGCTCTGTCAATCCCGCCCTCCCCCAACCCGACGACGATGGCGACGCAGACCGAGACAGCGGCATCGCCCTCGGCGTAGAAGCATACAGCCGGTCTTCCCTCTCGGCATGGAAACCAGGACACAGCGACCACGCTTTTGCAGACCAGAACGACCTGTCTGTGCCAAAGTCGATCGACAGCCCGGAAGCCAGCACATACTCCCAGTCGAAGCAACAGATCTTGTCAGAGCGGTTATCACCCGGGAGTCGAGACCTTATCTTCGGGATGGTCCTGCAAACAAGCCAGCGTGCCAACCTGGCTAGGATCATGAAATCATTTCCCAGCACTGAATTGCTTGACAGTCTCATTCAAGACTTTTTCGCATATCAGGAGCAGCAGGTAGATTCGTGGATCCATGGGCCGACTTTCCATCCCAATGAGGAGAACCCTGATATGGTTGGTATTGTTGCTGCGGCGGCGGCAGTGCGCTCGAGTATCCCGACAATAAGGAAATTAGGGTATGCTTTGATGGAGGTTGTGAGGTTGCAGATGAGCTTGAAGGTACTTACCCACTTTCCTTGGGCTTTCTGCATCTGTGAGCTGATTAGGGATTACTAGTATGAAAACGACAACACAACCATCCGAGACCTCCGAGCGTCGCAGACATATGCTTTGACCATTGATATCGGCATATGGAGTGGAAGTGGGAGGAGGACGGAGATTGCAGAGAGCTTTCAGCAGCCGGTCTTGACGGTGCGTATACATCCTCTGTCTGGGCTAGGTTATGATCCTGACAAGCTTGACATAGATGCTCCGCCGAGGCCTTCGCTTCCGCCGCTCCGTCTACACACCTATAGTCCCTTCGCTTGAAGATGCCCCATCAGTACTGGAGCAGAAATGGCGCGACTGGACCGAACAGGAATCCTTCAAGCGGTACTTGATTTTCCAAATATCCCTCGTTAGTGCTTTCCATTCTAACTTGGTAATGACAGGCTAGTCCACCACCTCTTCCTCCACGACGCCCAAAGCAGCCTCATGCTCAACATCAACCCTCTAATCTCCTACGCGGACCTCGAACTCCCCCTCCCAATGACCCGCGCTCTGTGGGACGCAAAATCAGCGTCCGAATGGCGGGATCTATACATTGCCACCGCACCCTTACAATCCCCATCTCCAGAACGACTACCGTCACTAGTCGACACCCTCCGCGACATGTCCGCATACACCGGCCGCATCGACGCGCAACTTTCGGCATCCGTAATCCTGCACGGCCTCTCGGCGCTAATAAACGAGTACCACCGCCTAAAGTTCATAGCACAGGGAAACGGGACCTCAAAGCACTGGAACGCGCTCGTCATCAACTCCCGGCAGCAGGAACTCGAGCAGGTCCTGCACCACTTCAAGATGATCAGCGTCGATACGAATCCCACCACCCCCAGCGCCGAGATCCGTCTCCTCTACGAGGTGATCTCCATGTTCCTCTTCATGTCCCTCGAAGACCTGCAGCTCTTCGCCGGCAAGGAAGATCGCAACGAGGCGCGCCGCGTGTATAACAGCGCGCTCGAGTGGATCGGCAGCGTCGATTCCCGCAAGGCGATCTGGCACGCCGGGCAAGCCATCCGCTCCGCGAGAGACATCATGGCGAAGCAGGGGCCAGCCAGGCTGACGGGGTTTCTGGCCGTGGGCGTATACTATGCGTCGTTGGCGTTCTGGTCGTATGGCGTCGTGAGCAGAGCCTGCCGGACCAAGAACGCCGGCGCCATTCCAATCCCCGCCTCCGCTGGCACTACCGCTGCAGGGAACGGAGTCGGACTCAGTCCCAACTCCAATACCAGCGGCAACTTCAACACGGAGGGCTTGGTCTTCCTGGACGGCGACGAAACCACCGACGTCCACAAGTTCATTTCCCTTGCTCGTGGGTGTCCGGCGCTCCGGGGTCTGGGCTCGAGCTGGAACTTCAGCTTCCAGGGAACGACATCAGGTGATGGCCCGGCTTTAGTCTCTGACCCTGGGAGAGTCATGGATGTCGCGCAGAGACTTCTGAAAGGTGATGCGCCGTTTGAGGCATTGCCCCCGCTGGTTCAGGGGCTTTGTCAGCTTATGCATGGGCTGGGGAGTGCGGCGGGGGGAGGGACGTAGCTCAATGGCGGAAGGGGGGTATGTTGTATATAGACGATGAAGCCTGGATATAATGATGACTTATCTGTCTTCTACTGCAATGCTGGGCAATAGCTAAACAAGATGAGATCGCTCATCAAAATATACATGAGGCATTCGGTGTGGTGCATCCGATGAAGATTCCAGTAACTGGCTGGATTCTGAGGCACATGCCACTAGACCAGGGAGTGGTATTACTCCCGTCACGCAAGGACGGGGAGCAACCAGAAGACGTCCACGCCAGCTCTAACGTATCCTCCGCCAGGGAACCCGGATCTGAATTCGCTCCTCCGACTCTGTCCATAATGGTATGTCTAATAATGTCTTTTCTATTGTTCACTGCATACCGAGGCTCTTCCCTCTTTCACAGAGTAAATCTTTCTTCTCTGCTCTGCCGTAAACGTATGTACATCATAAAGCATGGCAATCATCGCCTGCGCCTCCCCATATCTGGCTCTATCTGATACACTGTCCGAGAACTAGCGCAAGTGCCCAAGCGACTATTCGAAGAAAATAGGATTCGTCAGACCGGTATACGTCCCCGTAGAGTTTCGCAGCTCTACCCTCAGGAACTCGGTCCCTGCCGCAACCCCCAGCGACAGAGGCTCGCTGTCAGAGACCGTCTTGTTGAGCAGGTATCCCTTCTCCGTGATGAAGCAGGCCATGTGGCCATCGAAACCACTGGTTGCGAGTCGGGCAGTTGCAGACTTGCCGTTGGTCTCGACAGCATCGCCAGTCTGCGCCAGCGTCCCGGTGCCATTGACGGTGACGGTAAAGTCAATCTCCATGTCAGACTGCTCGGCGATATATACCCGTCGCCGCTTGACGCCCTCGACAACTGCCGCCGTGCTCAGCGAGCTTGCTTTGACCCTGGTGCAGGGCCGCCCAACCATGCTCGGCGGATGATGCGAGTCGCTCCCCGCGAGTCCTGTAATCCGACGCCCCTTCACAAGCAGGCTCTGCCAGAGCGCAATGGCAGCTTCATTAATCTCCTGCTCGACCCCATCGTTCCATATCTCAATGGCATCATTGTACTTGAACTCCGCGTCCAGATTCCAGATGCACTCCTTGCACGGCATGTACGGGTGGTTCACGGACACAAACCCGCCAGCGCGATGCACCTGCGCAGCTGCATCAGCGTACCCAGTATCAGTGCCATTGCCGCCATCTGGCCCATACCGCCATTCAACCGTCTGCCCGGCCTCCAGCCCAACAGCCTGCCAGTGCCCAAACCGCGTCGTGACCTCCATCCCCCGCCCAACGAGCAAGCCCAGCTCGTCCGGCGCAAACGCACCCATCACATCATTCCCGCTGCGGCTGTTATGCTCCGTCGAGATGTAGAAGTCCAGCCCCTGCTGCACCGCATGCTCGACCTGCTGCGCCGGCGTATACGACCCGTCCGAGTACGTCGTGTGCACGTGGAAGTCGCCCCGAAGCCAGACCAGCCCATCACCGCTATCCAAGCGCGCGCGCCTGCCCGCGTCAAGCCCCAGATCCGACGCCGCATACTGCGCCGAGAATCGCGGGCCCGCAATGGCCTCATACCCATACTCGACAGTGACATTGTAGTCGACGTACGACCCCGCGATCTGCGTATTCACAACAAGCACATGCCACGTTCCCGACGCCACGGGACCACCCACATACATCGGCGTCGTCTCGGCAGGCGTGAAGGTGAAGTTGCGTAACAGGTTGAACGACCACCCGCGGAAGCCCGTCGTCGCATTACGCGCGTCCTCGATCTCGTACCCGCGTTCGTCGAAAACGCCAATGTCCACTTTGCTCGAGGTGGCGTTTGTGTAGGCGTATGAGACGCGGATCGAGGTCGTGCCGCCGGGGACGTCGAATGGGATGTACGTGTACTCTGCCACGGCGGACGGGTAGAGACGCCCCGTGAAGGTGTCGCGGTCTTTGGGGGCTGCGTCATGGCCAGGGCCATGGTCTGCGCATGCAGCGGCCAGAGCTGCGAGGGAGAAGAGGGTCCAGAGTCTCATGGTTCAGGTTCACCATTTGATGTGTTGGTCCCTTGTCGTGCGTACCTAGAGACCCTTTTATATTCCTACAGACATTAGTGCTCGATCGAAGATATACGACGCAAATAAAATTAAGAAGGCGAAAGGCCAATAGCAGATGACGCCCCCAAGCACGGGGTGTCCCAGGCAAGATCTACAAAACCTTGGCAGCATAAAGTAGAGAAACACGTGGGAGCCATCACGACATAAGATTTGGCAATCAGGCCGTGTTGGAGCTATTTCCAAGGCACTCTGGAAGACCCAGCCAGGGTCCAAGAAGAGCCGGTGGACTTGGCAATAGAGTAACCCCAGCCATTGCATTATCTGTTGAATGGCGGGACCAGTTTCAGATAGGCTAAGACAGTCTCTTCAGGGTCTCTTGACCTTTCTCATCCAAATCCGGGTAATCTCTCAGGTTACACATATCCGACCAAAATGCCCTGGCATCGTCATGCGCCTCGTCATGTACACCCAAGCGCTCTCGAAGCAACCTCTTCCACTCGACATCTATATCCGTAAATCCAAAACTGGCCGAAACGTATTCATACCAGATAGGGAAATAAGCCGCGTACTCCCAGTCGAGTATACCAACAACCTTCCCGTCTCGCACCATGATGTTTCCCAAATTGAGATCGCAATGAGTGAGCACATAGGGCTCGCATCTCGGCAGGCGTTTCTTCAAGTTCTCCAAGAGTTGCCGAGGGAGATGGTGAAGGCTAAGGCATACAGCATCCCAAAGTTCCTGGTCCGAGTGGAATGGTCCGCGCGGTTCAAGGTCGAAAAATAGTAAACCTGGGTAGCATGGGCTTTGGTCGACGCACTGGATGGAGGTCGACGTGATGGATCGGAGCTGCTTGCGCACTTGAACGACTTGATCCGCGATAGACACCTTCTGGGGTTCTGACAGAGAGGGCCATGCCTCCTCGAGCGTTTGGCCATGTATGCGTTCGGTCATGACAAAGTACCGCCCGTCGCCATCAACCCAGTCACGGAGAACTTTTGGGACGGGTATGTCGGTGTGCGTCGCCAAGTACTTTAGTGTTATGACTTCGATCTTCGCTTTTGGGCCCTCGTCGGGGCGGTCTTTCAGGATCACATCAGACCCGATGGACCAGACGCCGCGTGTTGATGCGCCGTAGAGAAGTTTGAGGTGGCTGGTGTAATGGCACCGGGTTTGTTTGTCGAGGGTCCAGCCGCATGCGATGCAACTTTTGTCGAATGGATCTCCCATTGTGGACGGGATAAAAAGGACGACGGGATGTGATGAGAAAGACGTAGAAGAGATGGTTTCTGGTTGAGATTGAAGGGGAGAGGGAGGGTTGGAAGTTTTGGGTGCGGAGGCCCTTGCTCGGAACTGCGTCTTTTTAAGGAGGTATTCTTATTACGGCGCGCTGCCAATATCGACCAAAGTAGTACTGAGCAAATCGCAACTTTGGCTATGAATATGGTCCACAGAGATGTGCTGATCTGGAAGAGTCGGGAAGAGAGATGCAAAGCAATTGAAGAAGTCGAGAGCCGTCAGAACTCCTGAACAGTTTCGGCCTAAGCGACACAACCCCGATGCTGAGCTTGAACTGGATGAGCTTGATGCACCCGTGGACAGTTGTTGCATGGAATCCGAAAAGAGAATGGAATTGGTAAGGAATCAGGGACGATCCGTGCGGATGGAGAGGACATGGAGCGCGTTGGGTGTGCCTCTGCTAAGCGGGTCTCCGGATTATTGGTATAGCGTAGACCCTGGCATGGAGATACCCCAGGTTACCCTTTACGACTGCGCTGAATGCTTGTTTACTGCAGCAGTACCTTCCAGTCTATCCAATGTCCATCTCGGACGGTTCTACTTCCAGTCTATATTCAAAGTTCAGCTTTGAACACGCAGCAGAATTGGCATCGCAACATATAAATAAGCTTAAATAGCTCTAATATCTATGGTCTATGGTATATGTATAAACAAAAAGAAAGACCACGCTCAACCACCCCACCCACATGCAAAATACAACCGCTTACTCAAAGATACTCTCCTTGTAAACATTCGGGTCAATGTACGGCGTTCCACCCCGTCTCGTGAATCCCCAGCGGATCTGACTAGCCATCGCGATCTCAGTACCCAGGTGCTGCGCAAACGTCCACGCAAGACCAGGGTCCTTCTGGAACCCGCGTCCCACAAGCGCAACGTCCAGCCCCTCCTCCTCAAGCAGCTTGTTCGCCTGCTTGCCGTTGGTGATGGTTCCCACCGTTGCAACGAGCAGCTTGTCGCCGACGGCCTTCTTAATGGCGACGGCGAAGGGAGCCTGGAATGCAGGTCCGGACTTGACCTTCTGCGCGGCGTGCACGCCGCCTGACGACACGTCGATCAGGTCGATGGCGCCCTGGGCCGCGAGGGCCTCGGCGAAGCGCACGGAGTCTGAGAGTTTCCAGGATTCTTCAGGGAGGGACTCCTCGATCCAGTCGGTTGCCGAGACGCGGAGGAAAACGGGGACGTTGGGGCCGACGGCGTCGCGGGTGACCTGGGCGATTTCGAGGGAGAGGCGGATGCGGTTCTCGAAGGAGCCGCCGTATTGGTCGGTGCGGGTGTTGGCGGAAGGGGAGAGGAAGGAGGAAAGCAGATACCCGTGCGCATTGTGGATCTCGATGAAGTCTGCGCCGGCGGCGATGGCGCGCTTGCAGGCGTCGGACCAGTCGCGCTTGAACTGCTCGATGTCGGCGGTGCTCATGGCCTTGGGGGTGGGGAAGGACTCGTGGAAGGGGACGGTCGACGGGCCGAAGACGCGGTCAGGCCAGCCGCCGACCTTCTCGGTGGCGATGACGCCCTGGTTCATGAGCCAGGGGGCGATGTTGGAGGCCTTGCGGCCGGCGTGGGCGATCTGCACGCCGATCTTCTGGGACTGCGAGTGCACGAAGTCGATGACGCGCTTCATGGGTGCGATTTGCGAGTCCTTCCAGAGGCCGACGTCTTGAGGGGTGATGCGGCCTTCGGGGGAGACGGAGGTCGCTTCGATCATCATCAGCCCGGGGCCGCGCTGGGCGATGGACCCCAGGTGTGCGATGTGGTAGTCGGTCATGTGGCCGTCCTGCGCGGAGTACTGGCAGAGAGGGGCGAGACCGAGGCGGTTCTGGAAGGTCAGGCCGCGGACTGTGAGAGGGGTGTAGAGCTTGGGGACGGCATTGCCGCTGGTCTGGGGGTTGGCGGCTGTTCCGGCGGCGGGGTTTTGGGCCGGGGTGAAGTAGGGGATGCCCGCGGCGGGTGTGTTCTCGACGTCAGGGAGGGCCATTGTGAGGGATGTGAGGTGGTATGATAGAGTTGATGGACTGCATGGTCAGGCAGGAACAGGAAGGTCTTTATATAGCTCCCGAGTGTCAAACTTGGTTTGCAGAATCGAGTGGAAGAGGGACAAGATCCACCTGCTTTGAAATCGGGGTGGGGATGGCATCGCCTTGTGGACATTAGTCATGGCTATTGAAGTCTCAGGAACCAGGTACACATACGATTCTGCTCGACAGATGAAAAGATCATGCTCAGGATGGAGATCTGCATAGGGCGCACACTTCCATGAAGCTATCCCCGACCTCGGCGGGTTGTCTGCTAGCTCTCAGCACTATCGGAGCGTCAAGCAAACAAAGATCTGACTCGGCTCAACCTCCGGCCGATGTCTCCGAGTCTAACCGCTTTGGGACATTTGTCGCCTTGTCGTTGAGGCAGCGAATCAGATCCCGCTCCACCAGCCAACGGCGCGGGACGATCGCCGCCACCGCCATCATTCCATACATTTCGGAGTTGTCTCGGGGTGAGGAGATTTCGTTTAGTGAGGTTGGTTCAGCCAGAATCATGGCGGCTGGATCATTACCTCACATGGACCTTGACCATATTTGAAAGGGACGAGGGGGTGCGCGAGGTTACGGAGGAACCTATTAAGTGGGTTTGGTCGAAGGCTCAGCAGTGTGACGAGTAGAGAAATATATCTTGCCCTGCTATATCCAGACTCTATTGGAGATCTAACATTCTAACGGACTTCTATCCAGAAAAGTAACAAGCCACCGAACCTATCTAACGTATTTTATTCAAAGTTTCGCCTTGAAAGCCCCCCCACCCAAATTCTTCAAAACATTTTCATTCCACGGATACGGATCGAAAACAAGCTCGTTGACCGGATTCTGCGTACTCGCGCGCTTGAACAGATCCGGATACACGTCGCCATCAGACCGGCCCAGCGCACTATCAAGCTGCCAATCGGGGATCTTCCACGCATCAACGAGACGCACGGCATGCGGACGAATCTCATCAAGGAGTTTCATGACCTCGCTCGTTTGGGTGAGGCCAATCTGGCGAACTGTCACGGCAGCGGAGGAGAAGAACTCCGACGCCTCGCGCTCCAGCGTGTGCAGGGCGTACAGGCGGAATAAGGCCCGGAGGATATGGGCGGTGTCTTTGTCGAGGGTTGAGGTTAGTTCGGGGGACGTCACGGCCTCGTAGAAGTTCTTGACAACGAGGTACTGCGAGAGGGCGGTGGAGAGGCGCCAGAAGTTCACGAGGAGGCTGTTCCAACTGCGCTTTTCGACGTCGCGGTATTTGAGCGTTTCGAAGGTGAGGTGTGCTGTGCGCCAGGCGAAGGCGGCGACGATGTCGGCGTCGTCGCCGAGGATGTCGAAGGAGGCGCCTTTGTCGCGGCGCGCGAGATATGCTTGTAGGATGCGGGAAGTGTCGTTTGCTGTGCCCTTGCCCGCGAGGACGGCGCGGGCGGATTTGAGGAGCTGGATGTTGTTAGTATTGAGACTATATGACAGGAATTTGGATGCATACGTATCGAGCGACCTGCTGGGTGAGCATGTAGTTGTCGCCTTCCCAGGTCAAGGTGGGCAGGTAATCTGAGTACCACGGGCCGATGCCGCTGTAATTGCTGTATCCGTGGCCACCGCAGGCGCGACGGCACACCTCAAGACCTTCACCGGCGGTTGTACTCGCGAGCGCCTTGAGACCGCATGATGTGGCGTGAAGGTCCGCAAGGAGATCTGAGCCGGCTCGGAGCTGCTCTGGGCCGGCACCGCGCTTCTCCTGGTCTGCCTGCGAGGCGGCCTTCATGCGCTCCTGGTTCTCCTGGTACAGGCGCATCATGCCGCGGCCGGTAAAATGCAGGGCGTACATTGCCGCGAGGAGCGGTAGGAGTCGGATCTGGACCATCTTGTAGTTGAGGACTTGGTTCTCCTCGGTGCCGGCTTTGGCGTCCCGGTCTTGAAACTGTCGGCGGACGGCGCAATACCTGACTGCGATTGTCACGCCGCGGGCGAGGACACCGCCGGCTTGTAGGACGATGTTTGAGCGCACCCATGTCATGGTTCCATACATGAGAGATGGCGAGGCGGGGCGAAGGTACTTGTTCGTCTTCTTGTCGACCTGCGCAAATCTCGCCAACATGTTGACATGGGGGATCTTCAATTTGTTGAACAGGAGGAAGCCATTGTCCATGGTGCTGCGCCGGTCAGAATTATCCCACACAACCAAAGCAGCGGACTCACTTGTAACCAAACTTCGGCCCAATATCACCAACATAGACATTCTCCAGCGGCTGATGCGTCTCCATATCTCGGATCTGCACAACAAATGGATGCGGTCCGTAGTTCTTGCCACCAATATACAACTGCGCCATGACGACCGCATGGTTCGCCGTCCGTCCCAATGATCCAATCCACCACTTGCTCGCCGTCAGACTGGGCGAGTGGATGACGAAGGTCTGGTCCGACGGATCCCATGTAGCCGTTGTCTCCAGCCCACGCACGTTCGATCCGTGTCCGAGTTCCGTCTGCGCATAGCACCCGATGATCTCGTAGTTTCGGGCTCGCTCGAAAAACAGCTTATGTTGCTCAGGTGTTCCTTGTTCGCGGAGGGTCACCTAACAGCCATTGACTGTTAGTTCGACTTCAAAATCACGATAGCGACGCAGGATACAGGTGCGGACGTACCAAGAACATCGACGCGTGCAGCCCGTACGGCGTTGGCTCCGCCACCAGCTCATTCGCAACATAAACCTCCTCGTCCGTCCAGTTATGCACCTTCTTCAACTGCTGCAGTCTCTTTCCCCGGGCCAGCGCAAGCTGGATTTTCTCTGTGCGGCCAAGGACGTGATTTCGCGACTTGTCGAACACTTTTTCGCCTTTCAGGACATTCAGGATCTCGTCTTGTTTCTGCAGCGCTTCTTTCGTATGCAAGAGGTTCCCGAGCGTGTCGACGTCGATGTTCGATTGTGCGCGTTCTTGTGTCAGGAGTTGTGTTCCCTGCGGCGAGGCGGGCTTGAGGGCTTGCACCCAGGCGGGGGGTGGATTCGACATGATTCGCAGGGATCGTGAGGTGAGAATGGAAGGAAAAGTTCAGAAAGAAAAGGAGAATATAGGGGTGTAAGCAACCGAGGCAGAGGTAATAAATACGTGGAATTGGCAGCCCCGGACTCCACGGGGGTCAGCGAACGGGACGTTGGGACTGGGACTGGAGACGGGTTGACGTGAAGCTGAGCTGACCCGAGGGTAATCCCAATCCGGCAATTGCCGAGGCTGGTTGGTGGGTGCCTGGGTGCCTTGTCTCGGCCGACAACAAAGTGACCTACGTACTACTCTAGGTGCGAGGTAAATCACAAGGCAACTATTCAGCTTCGGAAAGCCGTATACCGAATGACTTGACCAGGGCCCATGTCTGATCAACGCACGATGGAGTTAGCGCGGCTGCGTGGATTCATTCCCTTTGGCCCGGTGGCCGAGGCGGCAGTTGATGAGCCGACATGCCCTGTTATCTTAACGATCAGTGTTGATCCCTTGCTGGCTGTTTTCACGTGGCTCACGAAATATCGGACTCTTCCTGTTAGACCCGAGTGTTGGGAGCAGCTGGTGGGTTCAAAACCCATCACATGAAGTCCGATAAGAGCTGGTGGCCACAGGTGTGCGTCAACGCATTGCCGATGCACGTGGAATGGAATTGAGTCTCAGGATCTTTGGGTGAGCTTGAGTGTCTGTTCCGTGGTGCGATAGACTTGACATCCAGTTAGCTGGTCAACAGGGCTCGGAAGAGTGATCAAGGTATCAAGGACGAGCTTGCAGGCCTTGCTGATGGCTCTGGTGACCTAAAGGCATTCTGGCGACCTCCGGGGGAGTAAGACAGGAGGAGCTACCCCGCGATCCATCTTTCTCCACAAGGCAGACCCTCATCCACCAATTCCCTCTTATCGAACTAGGTAAACTCCACAGGAGTTCATCCATCACTTAGTATACTCCGTATCTACTCCGTGATCCCTTTGAAATGCCTGCACCGCCTAAAGCAGAAATCGTTGACGGCATCAAGACCTTCATCCCACTTGGTAACAATCCATCCTCCTAGTAAAGAGCACGACTGACAAACATCGCAGAGAACAACCCCGATGTCCTGAAACTCCTCTGTGAGAATCTCCAGGTCTCGTCAGACCTCAGCTTCCACGACATCATCTCCACCTCCTCAGCATTCCTTTCAGACTGCCATTTCCGACCCTGCCACGCCCTCATTGTCCTTGCGCACCACCCTATATACCAAGCTGCCCGCTCAGCAGTTCACCCAACCATACCAGAGTACAAGGGCTCCGGTCCCAATGAACCAGTCATATGGATGAAGCAGACCATCGGACACGCCTGTGGGCTGATGGCCCTCCTGCACGTCCTCTTCAATCTGGAGGGCGGTCGGTATGTGCGCCCCGGAACGGGCATAAACGCACTCCGTCAACAAGTTATTCCTCTGGCGCCCACAGAGCGCGCGGAGCTATTATATGACTCCCGTTTTCTAGAAGAGGCGCATATGGATGCGGCGTCGCGCGGGTCGTCCAATGTCCCCTCGCCCCGAGACGATAATCAGCACCACTTCTTGGCCTTTGTGCAGAAGGATGGGGAGGTCTGGGAGTTGAATGGGGGTATGAATGGACCTTTATTCCGGGGGGTGCTCGGTGATGGGGAGGATCTCTTGAGTGAGCGAGGGCTGGAGCTCACTGTCCAGGACTTCTTGGTTGCTGCTGAACGGACGGGATGCGACGAGATGAGTATCGTTGCAGTCACCGGGACTGACGCTGTGGCTCAGGGTTGAGCGTGAGAAAGGTAGCGTCAAGCCTCTGAAATCTACCGACTCCGAGGGCAAATCTTCCTGCTAACTCTTTGGAGCTGATCCGAAAAGATATCCCGACACAGTAAAATTAAAATATATATTGATTTGCCGAGTAGGGTCAAACGCTACATATGTATGTTTCGAATCACTAGAACGTTAACACAATGCTCTAATCAGGCAGATTCAGGAACTATCTACATGCAAGCTTTATTCAGCCTAATAGCAATGCGGCTATTACCAAGAATCCTTGCTCCCTGTTCAAAATCGCCGAGCTGCCAATGTATTTCCACCAATCACCACTCCGCCCAACGTGTATATCAATATCCGCGGGCCCCTCGCCCCCAGTCTCCCCACACCCCCCCAAGAAAACAAACCAGAAACAAAACGAAAGAGGGGAAAATGCCCTACACAAACCCCATCCTCCCGGGCTCAAACCCAGACCCCAGCATAATCCGCGTCGGAACCTCCTACTTCCTCGTAACCTCCACATTCGAATACACGCCCTCAGCCCCAATCTACCACAGCAAAGACCTAATAAAATGGACACTTATCACGCACGCAATTACGCGCCCCTCCCAACTCCAGATCCAAACACCCGAGCCCGGCGGCGGCGTCTGGGCAACCACAATCCGTTACCACGAGGCCACGAAGACATTCTACGTTATCGCGGCCAGTTTTTCACGGTATAGACCGCAGGATGACGATCGTGTTTGGCCGAGGGGGTTCTACGTCAAGACGGATTGGGAGGGGATGTTCGATGCGTCGGGGGATAGCTGGAGCGAGAGTGTGGTGCTTGATGCGGTGGGGTTTGACCAGGATGTACGACCGCACGGATTCTCTCATGTCCCCTCCAGCTCTATTGTTGTTTGTTGCGGGGATACTGACGTGGTTTTGGTCTAGCTATTCTTCGACGACGACGGAACCGTCTACCTAAGCAGCACATACCGCAAGCACGAGCGCACCCCCGTCCCAGCGGGCTCAAAAGCCCTCAAAGACTTCGCGATCCACATCTGCACGCTGGACATCGAGTCCGGAAACGTCACCTCGGCACCGAAGCTAATCCGCTCTTCGAACTCGGGGTCCGGCGTATCAGAGGGCTCGCATATCTTCAAGCGGGGCAAATACTACTACCTCTTCACGGCAGAGGGCGGCACAGAGTCCGGACACAGCGAGTGGGTGTGTCGGTCTGAGAGCTCGCCATTCGGGCCGTGGGAGGTCGGCCCCGTGAACGAGGTAAATCCGCTCTTTGGATCCGGCGTCGGGCACGAAGACGAGGTGCAGAATACGGGCCATGCGGACTTTGTGCAGGATGTGGACGGCAACTGGTGGGCTGTTTTTCTTGGTGTGAGGCCTGTGTGGAGGGATGAGGGGCAGAGGTGGGAGGAGAGTGTTTTTGGTAAGTCGAGCCCTTCCTCAGTTTTCCATTTCCATCTCGACGCTTTGCGCGTAGGGTAGTGCTGATAGGCTTCGATGTCAAAGGCCGGGAAACCTTCCTCGCCCCCGTAACATGGACCAACGACTGGCCGATCGTGAACGCCCGACAACGAATAACCCTAACCGTCGACACGCCACACTTATACCACCTGCCGTCCGCGGCGCACGTATGGCGCGACGACTTCACCGGAGATACACTGCAACTAGGCTGGTACAGGAAGAATACGCCTCTGAAAAAGGACTACACTCTTCTCGGCTCCGAGCCTTCACCATCACCTTCGCAGGGAAAATCCGGCCTCCGCCTCCACGGCGCCCCATACACGCTATCCACGCCCTCATGCCCAACCCTCTTCCTGCGCAAACAGACAGCGCGAATATGTACGTGGGAGACGAAACTGCGCTTTAGGCCGGACAGCGTGAATGTCGAGGCCGGGACGGTCGTGTACCGCGATTACTATACGTTCGCGAGCATTGGGATCCGGCTGGCAAAAAGCACAGAAACAGAACCTGGGTCTGGGGTTGCGGTTGAGCAGGAGGAAAGGAAGAGAGTCATTCGGTTCACGACGCACACGCATAATACTGGCGTTCCGGGCCAGAGTGTGGAGTTGGATGTACCGCTTGTCTCGGGGACAGCCGATGTGGTTTTGCGGATTGAGTGTGGGGATGCGTATCGGTTTGGATTTTGGGAGGTTCTTGGGAATGCCGGGGAGGGGGAGGTGCATTGGGTTGGTGAGGTCAGTAATAGAGCCCTGATTGAAGCGCCGCTGCCGATTGGGGCGCCGTTCACGGGGGCCATGTTGGGGCTTTATTCGATTGGGGATCGGGAGGCTGTGAGGGTTCCGGCGGATTTTGAGTATGTTGAGGTCAGAGAGGGCAGCGTTTAGGCGTTGGTGTGCTTAGCAGTTGTAGACGCTGCATGAGGGTATTTTTTTAGGTTAGAAGTGCAATCAAGCGGTCGTAATGGGGCATGGGTATTAAGCTATATACAGGAAAAACTCAACGTAAATGCTTTGAAGTGGGTGAGCTCAGCATTATCTTCTCAAGCTGAGCTGATGCGCTGCTCGACAATCCTCTCCATCACCGTCTCATCCCCACTTGGCTTTTTAAGTGCTTCATCCGCAGCAATATCCTGCACCTTGACCATCCCGCTCCTCATCACGGGCGACATCTGCACCTTCTTCCAATCATGCACCATTTCCGTATTTGTCGTGGACATGCGCACCTCCCCGCCCGCGCGCTCAATCATCTCCCCCTCATACTCCGCAATCGCCTCTCCCCTCGCCTTGTCCCCAGAGAAGAACTCTTGGATTGCTGTCGCCAACCTACCCGCGTCCGTAACCGAGTGATTGAGCCCCTGACCCCGCTGATAGGTCATCGCATGTGCCGCGTCTCCTGCAAGCGTCACCCGTCCATTATGATTATCCCACCGATGCTCCTCGAGTCCTGGGTCAAAGTCCGTGAGGCTCATGTACCATACCTCCTGGTCGTCGGGTAGCCATTCAAAGGCGGACCTCCAGGGATCCGTGAAGTGCGATGCAAACTCCTTGACCTGTGCCAGGCGCTGCGCGTTACTCCAGTCTTTGGTAGCTTCTTGTTCGTCGAATGGCGAATGCCAGCTGATATAGAAGAAAAACGTCCAGCTGGCCGGATCCGGATCCGAGGCGTCATGAAGTCCAAAGAACGAGAAGAAGCCCGCTGGGTTTATGGCGGCTATGTAGAGCGGGTGGAATGTCCGTAGGAAGCGCGCTTGCTCTGCGGTATACTTTGCCTGGATCCAGGTCGCGCAGTACGGCACCGTCCGTATAGAGCCGTTCTTCGGACCAAGCAGTAAATCCCTAACAGTTGATCGTGCGCCGTCTGCACCGACAATCAAGCTGGCTGTTATCTTCTCCTGCCCCTCAAAGTACGCCGTCGCGGTTCCTCCATCCCCCGTATAGTCAATCCCTGTGATCTTATGGTTGAACCGAATATCCAGGCCCTCGGCTAGTAAATGGCGGAGCTTTCTCCGTCTCAGGCGGTAGAATTTCTGGGCCGGGATCGTGGTGAGGACCTCGCCCGTCGCACCATTCAGGAACTTGATGCAGTCGGACTCGGTAGTGGGCGTTGAGGGGTCGACCTGCACGGACTGGATGCGCGACCACATGGCTTCCGGCATGAGAGATTCTAGTGCGGATGCCCCCCAATGTAGCCCCATGTTCCAGTCGCGCGGCTGGAAGTCGATGTTGGGGTTCTTTTCGGCGATTGTGCAGGGGATTCCGGCCTGCGGTTTACAAGGTTAGCTGGATACTTTGATGGAGGCAGTGAGATATGGACCTTTTTCAGACCCTGGGCCAGCGCGAGGCCCGTTGAGCCTGTGATACCCTCTCTGTTAGCGGTGTCTGGCTATAGTGCGTGTGTTATAGGAGGGGGGAGAGGAGATGTACGCACCCGCGCCAACAATCAGGACTGTGACATCCTCTTGACTCGAATCCTCAGCGACCGAGAAGCGCCGGCCTGGAAACAGAGCTGATAATCGTCTTAACAGACTCATTTCGGACGAGGCCAGTGTAGGTGCGGAGGGAAGGGGAGAAGGGAAAAGTCGGAGATAGCATGACGGCATTTTCTTCAGGAAGAATCAGGAATAATCAGACCATCGAATCCCCTGCGGTGAATTTATCAGTGGAGACCGTTGACGAGGAAAGTGCCACTGCCATGCCGTGTGCCGAGCCGTGTCTGCAGTGCTATCAACAGGTGCAGTAGATAGTAGCAAGAGGAGAAGGGATGCTAATCCTGCCGCTGGGCCTCGGTTGGAGAAGCCTGTGCGCTGGGGAGAACCGGGGAGATTTGGAAAGCATGATGATATTCTTCAGCAGGTAGACTACTGTAGACTACGCTCCCAGGGATACGGTACCGGGAGGAAACTAGCTTAAGCTTCAATAGCTGTGCAGTGTGGGGTGGAGCGGAGGGGCGACGCTGCAGAACTGAAATTGCCCACCAGCAAAACAAAGTCCTTGTGCCTGGCTCGATCGAGACGGGGATCCTCTTGGCTCGGTGAGTCGGTGCCAACTGTCCTGCATGGAGTGACTGGGATTGCTTTGTTGCAGTCAATAGTGACCGGTCCAGGTGCAATAGTCGATCTGCTTGCAGCGATCCATCCATGGTTCCCCCTTTTGCCCCAAGATCCAGTGTGGCCCACTCGTCACTCTTCGGTTCTGCAAGTCACTCCTCCTATTTCTCCTCCATCCTGACCGACTCTCCTCCCACACCAACCACACCGACCATGACACAATACAGCGACGACGACCTCGACTCGGCCTACGGCGACGACTCGCTCATCGGCGACGACACAAAGACCCTTTCCACCTACATCACCGACTACCGCTACGAGTTCGGCCGCCGGTACCACTCCTACCGCGATGGCGCATACTGGGTACCTCACCACCTACCTCTCCAGCCTCAATGCCAACGAAGCTCATAACGCAGGGACCGAACGATGAACCGGCGAACGCGCAGCAGGATCTCGCTCACCACATGTATTTCCTCACGCTCGACGGGCAGCTGCACCTGGCGCCGATCGAGAACCCGCAGGTCCGTCATAAGTCATCCGTCCGCTCCCACCGATCGCATTTTGACAAAGAGACATGAGCAGGAAATCCTCGACGTCGGCACCGGCACCGGTATCTGGGCAATGTGCGTATTCTGAAATCTCGTTGCAAATTTCAAACCCGACCGAGCCGAACTGACAAATGCCGACCGCAGCGACGCCGCCGACGAATACCCCTCTGCCCGCGTCACCGGCGTCGACCTCTCACCGATTCAGCCTTCCTTCGTGCCCCCGAACTGCATATTCGAAATTGACGACATCACCCTACCCTGGACGTACGCCGAGAACCAATTCGACTTTATCCATATCCGCGAGATGTTCGGGTGTATCCCCGACTGGGACGAGTTCTTCCGGCATTGCTGGCATTGTCTGAAGCCGGGCGGATATATCGAGGTAGTGGAACACTCGGTGCAGCCGATCGCAGATGATGAGACGATGGGCCCAGATCACTTTTATCACGAATGGGGGAGAATCGTCGTCGAGTCGGGGGAGCGGTCGGGCAAGACATTCACGATCTGGGAGGAGAGCTCGGCGCGACTGAAGGACGCGGGGTTCGTGGATATCGTGGAAAAAGGGTTCAAGTGGCCGATGAACGGGTTCGCCTCACAATTTCGAGAATTCTGTACGGTCGCTAATGCTGGACAACGGTGTAGATGGAGCTCAGACCCAACATTGCACGAACTCGTAAGTTGCACCCTTCTCTCGGCTCCCGATCGCGCTGACTCGGTTGCTCGCCAAGGGCCGCTGGAACCAATTCCGCCTGAATGGTGGCATCGAAGGATTCATGCTCCGCCTCCTCACAACGACGCTGGGCTGGTCGTACGAGAGTGCCCAGGTCCACCTCGCACAGATGCGGGCTGCTCTGCGGGATTACCGGACGCACGCCTACCTCCCGGGGACAGTGGTGTATGCTCGAAAACCGGGGCCGGGGACATCGCCCCCGGTTCGCTGAGCCTGTAGCATTTCACTCGGGTCGGTTGTTTTCCTTTTGTTTGTTCAAGTGTCTTATCAGCCTTGTTGATCAAGCTGCATTGCACTGCACTATACCCTGTACAGTACGCTGTGTGCTGTACCTGTACTTGCCCTGTCTGTACCTTAATCAGCCATACCAAGTTATGAAGTTATGACCACGAATGCATCTTGCAAAGAAGTACGAAGTAGCTGGAGTCCTGGACGAGAAAACTGCAAGCTTAAATACCCGAGTATATAAATAGCCAGCACCCCTGACGCGTTCCTCGGCAGCGACGGCAGGATTGTGGATTGTGGATAGCCGTTATCCGTCACCAGCGGGGGCGGATTGTGACCCATCGCTCACTATCACTTGGCCCGCTGTCCATCACTAACGGACTGCGTTAGCGGCGTGTCTAGCTGGACGCCTGGAACCAGACCGGCGTTGATCTACAGACGCACTTACTCCAAGGAATTCGCGTGAGGGGAAGAGGTACTTTTGTCAATTGTCTGGAGTGGCAAGCTTACGAGTTACGACCTCTACCTAGCTGGGCACGGAGTTCGCCGAAGGAATGTGATGTGATAAAGATAGTAGTGACTTGGTTAGCTTGGAGCTGGAGCTGGAGTGGACTGCCAACCACGTGCTTAACCTTACCTTACTTGACACTGCGGCTAAAGCCGTAGTATGAACTCTACAAACTTTACTCCGTATGTAGGTATTCTATTCATTCCGCACGATTCACGAACATTGGATCATGGATAGATAGCGGATGAGGCCGCAGACGGTACGGAGTAGACGGGACGCGATGGGTTGACGGTGGGTACGACTACGACCACGAACGGCATGAGGGTCTCGGGTTTCTACTCGGAGTTCGACTCTACATAACGATGATCTATGCATAGCAATGGTCCGGATAGCGTCTCTGCGCCGTTTTGTCGTTGGAAGGACCTGAACAGGGTAAGATCCATATGGGATATTTACTTACTTGACTGCCGACAAGGCCGTCGCGATACCTAGCATGGCGTATCTTCTTTACCCTAGTTTTTTATTGATGCCATGGTACTACGGTAATGAAACAACAGAGCAGAGTGGGCTCGGCTTCCCCGTGGATAGTTGACTTGGATGGATACCTACGTAGGGGTAAATGGTAGTTAGGTCTCGACTATGTGAAGCAGGATTGGATAAGTAGGGCAGAACCTGTTCTTGACGCACTGTATCTTTTTTGATTTTGGGGTTTTATATTAGATACGGTACTGCTCCTTTGTCTACATATGGACGGACCAGACTCGTTGGAGAGCGCAATTTCAAGGGTGGATTTTCCTCCGAAGTATAAATAGCGTGATTTATCTGTCTGTGTTGAGGGAGAAAAAGCCAAAAGAGCTTAGGCCCGTGAAGATGTAATTGTCTCCAAAGCCGCCCTGGTAGCGCACCGTGTATGGTAGCTATATCCTGCGCAGCTCTAGATCCCGACCCTAACTAGCCGCCATTGCCTAGGAGAATGGAGAGGACGTCAGTAGCCATGTTTGCTATACACACAGACCATAAACATGATCAGATATCAGTGGAACAGATATGAGTTAAAGCCCAGAGAAATCCTCGGAGGTCTCTGGGGTTTGTATAGCCACATAGGCTGGTGTCGATTTCATAGTTACAACCTAAAGCGCAAGGTTGTTGGAAAACACCATATTATCAAAGGTCTTACTTACCTCGCATGAAGAAAGCTCAGTGGCCGGATATTGTCTCTACAGAACCGCATGCCGAGGCCCTAAACAGTGTTTATCCGGGGGTGGAGCGGAGCCCTGGTTAAGCTTATCGGATCCATGCGGATGCTTGTTCCTTTGTTGATTCTTGTTCCAGCCATGATGAGTTCCCACGTCATATCTGTGGCAATGTGACTATGGGAGGGTTAAAGAGGGCAACAGAGGGTACCTTCTCCCCCCCTCTCACCATTTCCCGCACAGCATCTATTGACCTAAAACCTGCAATATGAGCAACAACAACGTATCCCTCTTCAACACACCCGGCCCCAACGACATTCCCTTGGGAGCCGAACCCCCCATCGCATCAAACCGCCTCGTCTACAACACCGACGACGCATCAACACTCGAGCGCTTCAAGATCCGCGAGATCTGTGAAGGATGGCCGCTCCACCGCGACGCCTGCGAGTGGACGGACCTCCGCGCCATCTTCGACCCCAAGGCCTTCATCAACATCACGTGGCAGCAGAATTACCGAGATGAAGCGATCGAGACATGGAAAGAGGGATTCAAGAAGGGAGACTTTATCACCCACCGTGCACTCGGCCATGCAGTCGAGATCAAGGGCGATCGCGCGATCGATAAGATGAAGGTCACGATTTCGTGGAGATTCGCTGATGACGATGGGGTTGAGTGGGATAGTGATTGGTGAGTTGAACCAGCCAAGTATTGAATCGTACTTGGGGGAGTCGGGTTTGCTGATGTGCCCAGCGACGTCCGCTTCGTCTTCTTCCTCAAGAAGCAACCCCAGGGCTGGCAGATATTGTGCAACCACCCTATCTACGAGAAAGACAAGCTTGTCCCCGTTGATCCCACGAGACTGCCTAGGATCGACCATGCGTCGCTGGACAAGGAGCCGAAGGGGTACAGGTTCCTGGCGTATGGGATGCGGCGCCTTGGGTATCCGATCAAGCAGAACCTGCCGCAGCTGTTTGGGAAGGAGCGTGATGAGCTGTATAGGGAGATGGTGGAGTTTCTGGACGGGAAAGAGATTGATTTCTCGCAGGACGAGTTTTGATTCGAGTACTGTTTGTAGAAAGAGTGTTTGTTTTCGAATGCACCCAGAGTATCAGGGCCGGCTGGAACAATAAGCGCCTTTTATAATCGAAGGCGAGATACGGACAAAGTAGAACAATACAAATCTTCTAGCTTAATATACAAGTGCCGAAGATACCACCCAGATCCTGCGTAATGGCAACTCCTGCTCAATCTACAGCACAGCACCCATAAGCGCAACAGCGGCACCTCCAACAACAACCCCAAACACACCATTCAGCTTAACCGCAGCCCCAGTCTCCGTTGGATCAGCCCCAGTCTCCTGCGCAGTCTGCGTAGCATTCCCCGAGCCAGACCCCTGCGCCGCAGTAGACGTAGTCCCCGTAGACGACGAAGTCGGAGAGCCTGTGGCCGTCGCCGTCGCTGTCGTAGCCGTAGACGTACTGGTCGAAGTCGTAGACCCATCAGCACTTGTAATCGTCCCCGCAGTAACAGTCACAGGCATAAGGCTCACATCCGTCGTGCTCGTCTCGACGCCCGGAAAGTTCGCGTCGGGACCGCCCGCGCTCTCGACGCACGTAGCAGAGGACTCTGTGACGGCGCATTTAACTGTGAATTGGCTGGGAGACATTCCGTTAACTTCAATTCCTCCTCATGGGAAGATTTAGGATGGGAGTCGGGCGTACAAGCTATCCCCATCATTCATGATATATGTTGTCTTGGAGGCGTCGGCGATGAGGGTTAGGCCGGGGCCCATGCCGCAGTCGCTGCCGGGGGGGCAGTTTATGCTGTAGGTTGTTGCGGATGCGTCCTGGTTGTTGATTAGTTAGTCTCTTGAGAGCTTGATTGTGACAATTGGAATGGATGGTGGCAAGCGCACGTTTCCCACGATTGAGGCGGCGAGAGGCTGTGGGTCTGCGCCGTAGATGAACATTGAGGTGACGGTGCTCTCGGCGTAGGCGAGCGAGGCCAGGGTTGGGATCAGGAGGGACTTGACGAGCATCTTGGCGGTTGGTGAGGTCTGGTGGGAGAAATCTGGGGATGCAAGAAGAGAGAAAACAGCAGGGGACCGCAATATAAATGGGGACAGATCAGGGGCAAAAAGCAGGGTAAACGGCACGAAGCAGGGTCCAGGCCCAGTCTATGATTAGATCGGGGATGATCCGAGACCCTCGAGATCAAGAGAGTTGATTGGCAGATACCCTGGATTTGAGGGGCGGATGTTTCGCCGCACTACGTATCAAATGTTCAGATCAAGCTTCGGTCACTTGGCCGGATGAGAGTATCCCGATTTCTGGAAAAAGGATACAGTAGATAGATAGGATACTGAGAAGCTAATTCCTGATCTATTGCGTACCTAACATTGCGTATCTTCAAGTTTAATTCTACGTCTAGTCAGTGAGTCAGTCTAGCCTCTCCATAGCTGCAAGGGACATTTTCAAGCAAAAGATCGACGTTCAGAAGGCATATAAGGCCACCGGAGACAGGACGGTTTGAGTTGCATCCAGACTTAGGGCTGGGTTAGCCTGCCTCGGATCCAGATGGTCGGGACTGGACGTCGGTGGCACACCCCATCGGTTAGATTAAAACCTGGGGAAGGGCAGCACGGAGGATCGGCCTTCCAAGGTACAATCTTTGCTACCGTAACCGAGCACCTTTCGCAGACTCCAGCTGCTTCTCCATTATGATGACCGAAGTGCTGTCAATGAGGCCTGGATCCCTCTCAATCAACAGCTTAGTAATTAGGCATAGCTTCCGGCTCAAGCAATTGCGCTGGCAAAATCCGAGTTTACCGGGTACATGGCGGAGCGAGACGAGTTGCAGGATCATTACGATGCACCAAAATGGCACGCCATCAACAAACGACTTCTGCGCCGAATATTTCCCTTTCCATCCTCCAGGAAGACGCAGTCCCCGTGAACGAAGCCAGCTGCGCCAATCTTGTGACCAGAAATCAAGTCCCGCAGCCCGCAGACTCGTTTCTGCTCCGTAACGCGCGCTTTGTTGGTCTATGCCTCCAACGGAGCAGGCATTAGACGCAGGCAGGTTCAGAGTTAAAGGATGTCCAGGCTATATTTGTGGTGTTGCACGCGAAGGCTGAGCCGGCCGCAGTCCTTGAAATGACGCTGGATGCGTTGAACCAGTGCCTTATGACAAGTTTTCGGTTGCCGGAGGCCTTGGACGCGGCACGTCCGCTATCCACGTATGGGATTAACTCGCTGGCAGCTGTCGAGTTCCGTAACGGTTGCGCATTGAACTGGGTGTAGAACTGAGCGTAGAACTGAGCACGCTGTAAATTGTCAATGCGCCGTCACTGGTGTCGATCGGTGAGAAGGTGTTTTCGAAGATTCCAAGTGTTTGAGCGATGGTTGGAAAGACGAGGGAAATAGAAAAGGCGATAGAAGAAGGGAAGGGGGGAGGAGGGAAGAGGAATGGGAGTGGCTCCACCAAATCGGGAAGGACCGGAGCGCCAAGGAGCTGAGAGGGCACTGCGGGGCCGCTTGACCGCCCGCTCCTTTTGACTTAGCTTCGCCCACACAATCCTCGGTTTGAATAGCTTCAATTTAATGCGGTTTGAGCAACAAGACAGTACTCTGATTCTCATCCACACATAAGCCCACTGGGGCCCATTAAACTCCTCTATCATTCTATCTTTTGAATTGGAGATACGGCAAGACATAGATCCATCATCCATTCAACATCTATCTTCCTCACCGGCGAGATGAGCCCCCGCTCAGAGTCGCCCCAAGAGAAACATGGCTTTAACAAGCCTTTAATCGTGATACTCTTATGCTCCCTACAGCGAACCATCAGCGAATGATTGGAGGTTTTTCCTCGACGTTAGACCAACTCCCTCATGTCAATAAGAACCATCTGGCCTCTCACCTTCAGCCCCGAAGCTCATCATACCTTCAAAGCAAAGCGGCCCCCTCTTCCTTCCCTTCCAAGTCATGGGGAGAAACCGGCTCAAGTTTGCTCATCTTGTCCTGAATCGATTGGCAGCGCACCATGATCCAAGAGCAGCCGTCTACACCGCGGGTTCCTAATATCATAATACGCCAAATCTCTACCACTGAAATTAGTAGCATGAACGCGCGCGTGCTCGCACTTAAGAAGCCGCTCCAAGGCATTTACCGCGCCAGCCCGAGCAGCCACATACAGTGGATTCCTGCGCCAATCATCACCATCCCTCGAGTCCCAGCGCGGGCGAATTCCATCGGTCCCCAAAAGCATGTCCACGATGCCAGCGTGGTTCCCGACAATAGCGTGGTCCAGCGCCGTGTACCCCTTATTACCCTCATCATTCACGTTGACCTTCACATCTGCCCGATCCAGTATCCGCCGCACCAGATCATCTTGCCCGTGTCTGGCGGCCATGATCAGCGCCGTGTCGCCGTCCCCGGCCGCATGGTTTAGGTCGATGTTCCTGTGCGCAATAAGGAGCTCAGCGCCCTTGTAGAAATAGCGCCAGAGACATTGGATCAGAGGTGTCCTATTCCGGTACTTGTCCATGACCATATTTGGATCGACACCAGGCTGCGCGAGGAGGAGAGCAAGGCCCGCTGTGGACTCAGCCTCGACGGCCCTGTGCAGTGCGGCGCGGCCTTCTTGATCTGTGAGGTTGATGCCGCTGGGGTCCTTGTCTAGGATTAGCTTGGCGAAGGTCAGGCTGGATGCACTGATTGCGTTCATCAGCGGGGTATCGTTGAATTTGTTTTGGATGTGCAGATTGGCGCTCTTGCACGCTATGAGGTCTGTGAAGATAGCGGTGTCGAGGGCGAGCCTAGGCCTGAGCTCAAGTTGCCTTTTGATGTTGCTCCAGTGGTACCGCCTATGCATGTCCTCCCCTCCCAGGGCTGTAATGGTATGGAGGATGTTGTCCATAAATTCGCCTTTTGGTTTGAATTGGCGGGGTCCAAATAGACGCGCGAGATGTGGAAAGGCACGCAGGTAGCAGAGCTGGTATTCTGGCATGAGATACTCTGCGATCTCGAGCTGGATCTCCAGTGGTAACTTGGTAACCATTGTGGTCTTCTTGATATGGTTTTAACGCAGCATTACATGAAGGCATGAAGGGGTGTCATTCTGTGTGGATACTTGGAGGAACAGAACAGCAGGTGGCTGGTGAGTTTGAGATCTGGAAATAAGATGGCGGGGAGCACTAACTATTTTTAGACCTCTAACTATCCATTACGGGCATAGCTTACTGCTGTTGTTTACTAGGCAGGCATACATACCAAGGTTGGCCTTGTGTCTGAAAGAACGTGATGCTGATGCAGCGATGCTGAAGGGCAAGGTACGTCACAATCATGCAACTGGCGTCTACTTGACTAAGTCTCAATGGACATCTTTGTAGCCCTCACTGACTAGAGAGTATTGACCAGCCACCGTCCCTGTCCCAGCACCTGGCCTATGCCAACCCAATAACCAAGCAGTTTTCCTTGTTCTACAGTACTGCACGGACTCCACCAGTTCCACTCTTTGTGCCCTTTAATCCAATACAACACCATTTTATTAGGAATGTGATGGATTACCTACAGCTTCACGCTCCGATGCCCCCCCACAACCCTCGGCAACTCAACCCCCCAAGCAACCCGGCAATCCCAGCGCACCGTCTCCTCACTCACCACTCTCGCAGACTCAGGTCCTGGAAGGCGGTACACAACATCCCGCCAAACCGTATCCCCAACCCCCAACTCCCCGCTACCCCAGCGCCGCGCGATCTCCCCCGTCACGGCATCCCCGTCCCGCCGCGCATCAAGAAACAGTAACATCCCAGACAGAATCCAGGCAAGCGTGAACATCGCCCTCCGTGCATCCGCAACCGCCAGCGCCGGCAATGACGCAAGAGACGTAAAGCGGCTCCTGAAGGCTTTCCATGCTTCGCGCAATGCACCCGCCATCTCACCGTCTCCAAGCAAACTCAGCACACGCTCAACCCGCCCACCAAACACGCCGAAATTCTCCGCCTTGAGCAGGAACCGCACGCACTCACTGGCGAGCACATTGCTCGTCCCCTCCCAGATACAATTCACAGCCGTATTCCGCAGGATCCGCGAGATGTTGAACTCGGGCTCCTCGGGCTCATCCATGTATCCCACGCCCCCCATAGCCTCCTGGCATTCCTGGATAGCTGAGACAGCCATTTTTGAAATCACGGCTTTGGATAGAGCTGTGAGGGTTCGGAAGACGGTTGTAGCTTCGATTCCTGGGATCGGGAGATGCGGGATGCGATCATTTTGCGTGCTGGGGTTTTCGACAACCCCCATCACAGCAACGGTGAAGAACGCCAGTTCCATTGCGCCCCTATGCCGTCCTTCCAACTCTGCCATTAGACGCAGATGCATCGGTATAAGCCACAGCGGCTCGCCGACCGTCGTGCGGGACCTCGCGAATGCCTTTGCGATGTCCAGGGCCCGGCGCCATGCGGCGAGACTCCCGATGAAGGTATGCGTGCGCGTGATGTTGAGTAAGGGGGCGATAGTCTGCACGCCATTATCGAGCTCTCCAACAAGATGAGCGCGCATATTAGTTAGTTCGAGTTCCGCGGTGGGGAGCTCTTTCGTGCCGAGCTTGTTCTTGAGTCGGTGGATGCGCACGCCGTTGCTTACTTCCTGCTTTCTTCCGGCTTCGTTAGTGATGGTTCGGCGTAACGGCGCGAGGAATAGACTTAGTTTTCCAGCAGGCGCGGTCTTTGCGAGGAGGAGCGCGATGTTTGCGTCTGTGGCTGAGGAGAAGAATTTGAAGCCGGTTATCAGATACGAGCCTTCGTCGAGAGACAAATTCTCCTGTGTCTGTGTCTTTAGTTGTGATGTTGGGAGTGGCGAGTGCACAGCCCACGTCTCTGTATTCTGAACGTCGCTTCCGCCGGCTCGCTCGGTCATCCATTGGCCAGATGTCCAGGCATCGGCACCTCGAGAGACGAGATGGCGTAGCGTGGTTTGGAAGGAGTGGGTTGTTGGAAGGTTCTTGTGCGCGATCTCGTTGGATAGAATTAGGGCGGCGCCGTCCGTCATGCTTGCGGGGCATGAGGTTAGGCCGGAGGATGGGGAGGTGATATAGTTCCTGTGACCAGAATTGTAAGTATCTTTCCTCTTTTGTGTGAGGAAGCTGAGTATCATACACAGCGTACTGCGCCATCCTCCTCTCCTTCCCGTACGTATCCTCATAGCCTAGGGCAACGACACTGGAAAGCACAATCGGTCAGTTATCTCAGCAACCTTACTCACCAATCCCTCTCGCCCTCCGTTATAACTCAATCGGGTAGAAGAACAAGAAAAACTAAATGTTGTGGCTTACCCGTTCTCAGCCCCCCAAGCACCAAGTCTCTTCCACCCCTCACTCGTAACCAACCGATCAACAGCATACTTTTCTCCCCAGACATTATGCCCCTTAACATACGGCTGGTTCCGCTCCGCATCTGCACTCTATTCTGTAATCCTTGCGGATATTGCCTCGTCGCCGAGGGCCGTGAGGTGCGGAGAGAGCGTGGCAAGGTGTTGCGGGATGTACCCTGCCGACAGTCCATTAGCGGACCAGACTGTGGATGTGAGGCAAGGGTATATACATTCTAGTAATCTCTTCAGTGACGGATCGGAAGTGTAGGTGTTGTTTAATGGCGCGGGTCTCGTGAAGTGGCCGCTCGTAGCTGTTGCGGGGGTGGGGGTGGGACTTGGGGTGGAACTTGGAAAGGGTGCCATGTCTCCCTCGATAAAGATACTCAAACGACTCTAAAGAGCAATGTACACATCAAGGCGGCTTTGTGAAGGTGCGACAGAAAGGGTCCTCTGTGCAGATGGTAGGTAGATGAATGTCGGGGCCGAGGGACCTTGAGCCGAGGTCCCCGTGAGTACGGTAGTGCTGAGAGAAAATGCGGGGGAATTAATGAAGCACTTTGATAATTATCATTTTATCACGGACTTCTGAATGTACACTTTGCAGATAGTAGCTGATTGCGCAGCATACCCGACCTATACTCCGGAGCCTCGATGTCAAAGCATCGATCTGCCGTCCCTCGATCGTACACGTTCGCCGAAATCCTTGCATTTGTCGGGATCTGGGTAGGATAATATCTGTCGCCTTTAAGTAGTAAGACTCAGATAAACATAGCTGTGTGGTTGAGTATAGATTTTGTGGCTGATGTAGTGGGTGGTGTAAGGCCCAATACCCTCAGCCAGGACCTATACCCGCCCTGTAGGTAGGCGACTGCATACTCGCTGGAATGTTGGGTGTGTCGAGAGATCATAATTCATTCATTCGATAATTGCTGGTGTCTCCATTCCGCCTCTACCACGCAAGGTCCTTCGCACCAGGCCCAACCCCAGGACAAGCCGCCCTATCCAACTTCTCACAGAACCTGACCTCCTCGCCTACCTTCCCACCTCCAGCTCCCTTCGGCGCAGCCGGCCAGATCTCCCCTCCAGCCTTCTCCTCAGCCTTCTGATGCTCCACAAGCATACTCTTCAAGCTCTCCTGGAACTTTATCGGGCCTTTCTCCTTCTCCGGATGCAATTCCCCATTAAGAAAGACCCCCGTTCTGAGACTCCTCTGAACCCCCTCACAAAGCTCCCGATCCTCATCAAGCACCTGCCGATAAAACTTCATGATTGTGTCAAACTCCTCGTCGCTGGCCTCTCTATGCCGAAACACCTCATTCTCGATCTTTGACGTCGTCGCCGTCACAGGGATCATGCGCTGGATGTAGAAGAACTTGTTGGTCACGGTGACACTCGTCCCGGGGAAGAAAAACGTGATTGCGCGCTGGAACTGCGTGTCTATGCTGCCCTTGTTCACGATGTGGTGCTCCATATACCGCGCGTTACTATTCGGTTCGACGCGATATTTAGGCAGGTCGGTGACGCCGGAAATCAGAGGGTGCGATGTCGCGCAGTGGTAGCACTCGTTATAGTTCTCAATCTGCAGTTTCCAATTCGAATCGACGTCCATTTCCCAAGAATGATCAAAGGTGTAGTCGGCGGCAAAGTCGAATTTCCGCATCCGGTCTTCTGTGTCGACGGTGCCGAACTCGTCGCGCCATTTTATATCTGGTGAACCGGACTGCAGGTTTACCCAGACGAAACCGACGGCGTCGACGTGATTGTGTATGGGGAGGAGGCTGTTGGAGGATTTATCGAAGTCCGGCACTGTTTCAAAGCGGGGCGCTTTGGCGAGGTTTCCCTTTAGACCGTAGGACCAGCCGTGATATCGACATGTCAGTATTGATGCTGTTCCCTCGCGGGCTTGTACGACAGGGTATGCGCGGTGGCGGCAGATGTTGTGGAAGCCGTTGATATTGCCGTCGCGGTCACGGACGAGGAAGAAAGAAAAGTCGGCGATCGTGAAGGAGAGGTAATCGCCTGCTTTCGTGAATCGGTTGGAGTGTGTCAACAGCATCCAGCGTTTGGAGAAGATGGCTCGGCGCTCGAGCTGGTACATCGCTTCGGAGCGGTACCATGACGCTGGGAGGCTTCGAGGGGGTTGTTCTTTTTCGGCGGAGTAGCCGAATAATCGCCACATTTTGACTGCCGTATTATGTCCTAGGTAGATCGTAAAAGAATAGCAGCGTGACGGTTTCAGCAGTTGGTGCTTGAAATAAAAGAGCTGGTCTCAAGTGGGGGCTTGGAGTAACAGCCCAAAAATGGGGGCGTTGCCTCTATCTCACCTTTCGCGATAAGGAGGGAGACATCGATATCTGGGAGACCTGGTGGGAATGATATTACAAACGAATATCACCTCATAGATCTACTCCAAACCAACGTGCATGATAATAAGCGTACCAGGGCCACTTGGTTCCGGTCTTCAATCGCGGTGTTCATCATCACATACATCGTACAAACCATCCAACTCGGAAAAGTGTTGCAGGCAACCATCATGACTCGAACTGGTGAGAGCGCTATGCCGCCGCAAGACGAATATCGTGCAACTTGCGCAGTTTACGCACCACCTTATCCGGATTTGACAAGTCGACCCAGGCCCAACTTCCACCTCGGACGAGCTTCAGGAGGACCCATACACCGATGACGACCAAGATCTAGAACGAACGGTGAGGATTGAAGCCACCAAAAAAGAGGGTGACTTACAAAGAGGTAGGACGATAAGAATGGGAACTTGTAGAAGCCTCCCCAGAGAGACGCTCCGTTCGCAACGACCAAGACGAAGAGGCAGCCTACGAGTGCAACGTAAGAGACATACGGCTGGAATCGCCCGCGGTAGGGATAGTCATTGTCCTCCGGTTTGGAGAAGCGGCGCACAAGTGGAATCCGCTGTCTTTCGATAACAGCGCGATGACGGCGGATGCAATGATAATATCGGATAAAGGCGAGCGCTTCGCACGTCCAGACGACGACGACTGGAACGCTGCCCATCTGAGCAAGGATTTCGATAAACATGCCAATGGGAGTCTCGGTTGTTGTGCCGCCGCGCAACTGGAGAAATGGGACCCAAACGAACGCGAGTGCGCTGAATATCATGGCCCGTACCGGGACCTTGCGGGAATTGGTGCGGCCAAGGAATGCCATGAGGCGGATGTACCATGGCTGGCCTCTGCCTCCATCCAATCTGCTAGTCAGGCCGAAGAGAGCTCTGGAGGCTACGTATAGGTTGGTACTTGCGCAGGTGACGCAGGTAAAGACCAAAAAGGCGTTGAACACGTTGTGCAGTTGCGGGATCCTAGACTCGGCAGCAATAGCTACGAATGCTGAGGCAGTATCTGTCTGAATACCAGGGGCGGCGGGGACACATTCTCGCGTGGTATTTATCCAGCTGAGGCGGGGAAGGCTGCAACGGGTCCATGGTATGTCGAACGAGACAAGTAGCCCGCTAAGGGAGTAGGCAAGGGTGGCGAGAAGTGAGAAGTACATTGAAGAGAACTTGACCGTGCTTCCGATCTGCGTATCGTGGCGTGGCAATCCCTCCGCACCTGTGTTATCGCCCTCTTGCTTGCGGTTGTCTGGAGCTGACTCGAGAGCCGACGCCGCGACAATCTCAACCCCCACATATGCGAAGGTGGCGATAGATAAACACATTCTGCGATATTAGTCTACCAGGCTGTCCGGGGAGGCGAGGAACTAGCTTACAGGAACGCAGTCCCCCAGCTATTGGCAGCATCGTGGTCGAACACAACGGGATGCGCCCAGTCTGCAGGGTTCAGCAGTGTGTAAGGTCAATGGAATAAGCGGTACGCACATTCACCACCTTTGTACCCGTTCCCACCAGCTATGCATGTCAATTCGACCTGTTGACTGGTTGATATTCGAATCCTTACCTCCTGCGTTGATTGCGCCCAGAGCGACGATGATAACACTAAGACAGGCAATCTTAATAACGCCAGTGGCCACCTCAAGTGAACCATACACCTTCAAAGGAATTAACACCCTTGCGCGTGGGTAAAGAGACGTATCGCACATACCTCGATGCCCGTGGCATTTACCAACACCAATATAAGTGGGACCAGAAAGTATATCACGACACCGTCGAGTGCCTTGCTGCCGTCGGCCCCGGTCCAGAAATCAACTTCTGCGGCCAGAGTGGCTATAAGGGCGCCGAAGCTCACTGAATACGTGAACCTGTTGAATTGTAAGTAGACTAAAAGTGCTTAGAGGTAAGGGGTTGTACCAGTATGCAATGCCAACAGCAATTCCAAGTTCATGGTCCACAAACTCGCTAACGTACACAGATAGCGCTCCGGGAATCGGCCATATGCAAAGCATCTCAGTAATGCATTGCATAACAGTGAAGGACAAAAGTCCTATCAGCAAAAAGGAGAGTAACGCCGCCAGCGGGCCCGCAAGTTCAAGGATCTGACCGCCACGCCAGTACAAGCCAGTTCCCAGCGTGCCGTTCACCGTAATCATCTACTGTCGGTTAGTTGGAGGCCACGCCGTCAACCACGTGGTTGGCACGATTTGCGGGTTGCGCTGCCGCGAGCGGCACGAATCGGAACGCATGGGATGGAACTTACGAAGATATGTATCCCTCTCAGCTTCCGTTTGACGGTCCGATTCGCATTTGGCGAGACATAAAGTGTCTTCGCTTGCTTGATATTAAACTGCTCGTTGTCGTCATGGTTGTCGCTAAATACAATACTCAAGGGTGGCCGATCCCGAGAGCTGTGGGAGCTCACCCTGGGATTATGGATAACGTCTGATCTCACAGTCCCTGCTGCAGGGGACGATCGTGGGTACCACTCAGGAATCCAGTCCGGCAGTTCTACTGCCTCGTACACTTGCATACTTCGTGTTTACGTGCGGTTGAGCATTTGTCAGGAAGCGAAGGATATCATTCCACGAAGCGGGCGGAGTTTGCCATATAGCAATAGATTGACTCTGGGTAGCTCGTCCCCAGACGCCACATTTGCGGCTGGAGTCTTCGAGCGAAAGTGATGGTGATAACATTCATGAGCCCGGGCACCGTCGCCGGGCGAAGGCGAGTCTGCTGATAAAAGAGGGGGGCTCAGGGGGATGCTTCAGCCTCTCGTATTGACAAGGTCCTAACCAGACAGGGAATGGTTGGCGCCCACGGGATGTTTGACCAGGCCTGTTCTTCCACTAACATTGCGAGAATCTGTTGAGGATGGTAGTAGCTGACTGAGACTCAACCAATGAGATGGGTCACAAGTCATCTTTACTTTTTCATCGCCATGTATCTGAGTCTCGTACTCCGTAACTCGTCGCCTAGTTTTGAACCCGGTGACGTGGCACATGCATGCATGAAGGGGTCCACGGGGGCCACGGGATCAGAGGAGGCTCTTCCGAACTGATGGCCGTTATCACCTCGACGACACAGAAAAGGCGTATGTATCTGGTTACTTGTGCTTTTGAAGTTGAACCATTCTATCGCTGCCACTAAACCTCGGCTCCACCAGCCTTGTGGTCCCCAAGCTTTATTGGGAGCGCCTAGCTCAGGAACCATGCCCGAGCAAAATGTCAGCGGTCGGTACATTCGCGGGTGGCGCCTTAAGCTGCTGCTGCAGGACCTGTTCCCGGAAGTCGATGACTTCCATATCCGGGTTCGGCTCTCTGCTTCAACCCATTTACATCGGCTACTAACGCGTCCTCTAGATGAGAGAGGATGAGTGGATATTCGAAGCCCCAAGATTAGTGACAGAGGTAGGTTTGATGAGCAAGATACTTTTATGGCAGGGAAGGCCGCTAACCAACTTGTTGTAACAGGAGGAGCTTGAGTACGCCCGTCCCCGCTGCTCTATGAGGTCACGCTGACACAGTTCATCCGCAGCAAGATTCAGGAATAGAGCAAGACTCGCGGGGTCGCGTTGACGAGTGTAAAGGTCCATTTCATTTGGGATAAGTGGAGGGAATCCGTAAACGCTTTTAGTTCGTTGCTTCATTGAACAAGATTCTGTGGATCGCGCGACGACCGGCACCGACCAGCGATGCAAGAAGGATGCCCTTTCCATCGGTCGTATCATGGAGCCTTTCTGTGAATTGGTCGTCTTCCGCCAGATTTGGGAGGGTTGTCAGTTCTCTAAAGCGGACCTCATCCTCGTTGGACCGGGGTACAGTCAGCTCCACCAGCAGGATCTTATAGTTAACCGGATGGCGAGCGACTGCATACAGCTTGTCGTCTTGAGAACTCATCATCAATTTAAGCACTCGATAATTTTTGATATCCTTTCGAATAGGAGTCATTGTATTTTCAGCCGCCAGATCCTGTATGTGTAATTGCTTCTCTCGCGTAACAACGGCACACATGGTGGGCCTGTTGTGGAAGGGGGCCAAGGTTGTGAAAAGCCGCGCGGTGCTGCTGCTATCCAGACCCTTATTACTTTGTCAGCTGACAATAGCCTTGGTTGCGTAGTTATTATCTCTTACCCGTGGTTCGATTGGCAGGCAATGCATGTCCTTAGTGATGATATTGACATGAACAACGTACACTTTGTGGTCGGTGCTTGGAATAGTGAGCTGAGGTCGGACGACGAGATAAACATCTTCGGCGGTGCTAAAGAAAAGCCTCGCAATGTGACCAGCCGGCCACCTTAGCGTACGCTTCCACCATCGCTCCGCGGACGATGTTGGGTCACTAATTGAACGTCTCAGTTATAGACCCAGAAAGTGCTAGAAGGAAGAACAGACGTTCTCGTAAGACGGAAGAGCAGGAGAGATCCGGGCTTGCGTTCGTCGTCGCTGGCCTTCACAACACATGCCAGTGTTGAACTATTTGGGGATATGGCGATTTTCCGTATTGCTGGCTGTGGTAACTCCACTGGATAATGACTATCGAGGCTACGTTGTTTCTGAAGGTCGAATACCACGCACTTTGAAAGGTGGTTCTTGTCAGCAACCGCGTAGTGTTGGACGAAGAGCGACTCACATGAAAAGTAGCTTCCGTCGTGGAAGCAACCAAGTACTTATCCGTCAAGCGAACACTATCCCAGAAGCAATTATCCCTTCTCAGTGTGAACTGTCCAACGCATGAGACACTATCTCCCTTTACAAAGCCGAGCGAGTGTGTCTGGTAGAGCAAGATCTTGCGGTCTGTCCAGTACGCAACAAACGAACAGTCTGGAGATATCTGGCAGCCCTTGAAGGCCTCGGCTTCGGAAAGATACCATTGGTCCACAGTTGTGAATGGTGCATCTGGGTCTTTGCGCGGTAGTCTGCTTTGTTCAGCCATTGTCCTTCAATCCGAAAAAGACGCTTACTTTGCCAGGATCTGCTGCCGGACGCGGTAGCCTCGCGACTCTGTAAATTCTTTCAGCAAACTGCTGTGACGGTCTTCTGCTAATTTGTTGTATCCTTTGAATGTAGTCTCAAGCATGTCTGCGACGTCTTTCGCACCTTTACGTTTGGACTGGTCGATTTGCACAACATGCTTTTCGATATAGGACAAGGAGTCATCCACTATAGCTCCTTCACGGCCGCTGCGTCCATTCGCTCGCTTGGTGAGATAGCCATGTATCTTACCAATTGCCGGGTTTGGCTTTGTGCCCCTAAACCCGCGGACAGCAAACTTGTCGGAAGCACCAGCCTCGTTGCATCGGAGGCGCTCGTCTGCGTATTGGATAACACCCTCCCTTCCATCCTCCATGTAGGCGAAGAGAACGCTTAGGACGCAGCCAAGGGACCAAACATCACTATTCGACTTCATCACGCGATCTGGAGAATCGGCCTCCGGAGCTAGGTAGGTGCCCTCCGCTCTTCGATTCAAGGTGCCGGACAGGGATGGATCCTTTGTATCTGGCTCCGGTCGACGTATAAACCATCGGTTGACGTTCCTCTCTGCTTCAAAGCCACCCTTGGAGCGACGAATCTTCATGCACGACATGCCAAAGTCACTGATCCTCCAAATGTTACGTATCCTGCCATCTCTTCCAGGCTCGCTGAAAATCAAAATGTTGCTAGGTTTCAAATCCATGTGATAACAGACGAGCTGCTCCATCTTTGGGGTTTTCATCTCATGGTGAAGAAAGTGGAGGCCGCCCGCAAGACCCACGGCACAACGAATGATATCCATTTTCTCCGCGATACTGTTCGGACGCGATTGATGGTGATCCATCATATATGCTCGGAGGTCACATATTGCAAGAGGCATGAAGAGGCTATATGACCTTGGACCGAACGCGAGGCTGCCCATGTTTCGGAGAATATTCGGGCATTCCCACGCAGAACTCGCATGAATCATTTCCATTATCTCGCGCTCTGCCGCCGGATCGAATTCGTTACTGACCTGGTAGTCTTTGCGAGCCACCTCCGTCGGATCCAGATTCGCACTTCCGTGAATGGGGTCGTATAGATGACCCTTGGCTATCTTGACCTTGAAGACCTGCCCAAAGAAGCCCTTTCCCATTGGCTGCTCTTCCAAGTATGGGAGTCGGAGGTGATCTGTTGCGTCGAATCTCATTTCTGTCCTGCGGTTGATGATGATGGGACAGAAGTATGCTTGCTTTCCGAGAAATTTATCGGCGTCGACTTCGTCTCCACCAAAAAGCACCTTAAGGTCCTCCCTATTTGCGGGCAGCGAGGGTATTCTAGTTCCATTTCTTCCAACCGCAGACTCATCGTCGGCAAGGAGAACCCCAGTGGCAATCCTCGCCGATCTCACAGAGCACCCAGCGATAACCAGCACGATAAGAAATCGATGAAGACGCCTTTCCTTCGTTATTTCAACAAGCTCGTCCTCGGTAGCCTTGAACTGGTCGAGTATCGTACGTCCTGGCTCGAGCAAGCTGCGAAAGAACCGCCGAAGTTTGTCCGTGTGGAAGACCAGCTCGGCCGTTCCAACGGGCGCAAAGCGAAGAGATTCTCGATCCTTTCTCTCCAGATACGAGTATACCTCGTCGTACACCTCTTTGTGGAGGCTGTCATACTCGTTTGATGCCATGGTCGTATGATCTCGTGTAGATTGTTGAAGTAACAACGGAGATTGCAGTGTTCACAACAAGGCTGAGGCTGAGTACATTGTAGTCACATGCTGGCCTTTTCACGCGTCGCGAGCGATTCGCCACGAGCAGCTGTCAGGATCTAAGAGTCTCGGGCGATTCTGCGCACTCGCTTCGTTTTTCTTTTTCGTGGTGCTTCTGTTTGGCGCAAGACCGAATATCTTCCTACCCTCCAAATTATAGAGATGATGAGGGTAGGCGCAAGACGATATGACGATATGATCAATATAATGCATTTTGAAGAAGTTATCGCTTGATGGTTGGGGGTCCTGGTCGGCGGAGTTCCAGCGACCGAGGAGGATGGAAAATGCCCAGTGGTCACCTGATGACGCCCAAAAAGGAAGGCGCGTCTGGGACCTGCATTAGTCATCCGTAGCCTCAGGATCCCAAGGTCAGACTCCAAGACTCGCCAAGTGTCAGCATTCCAGTGGTTTGAAAACATCGCAGCCTAGGCAATGGAATCGCACAGCAAGATTCAGATCATTGCCATCCCAATTGTTAGATGATCCATCATGGCCTTGGCCTGTGAGAAGTGTCGCGGGCTAAAAGTGAAATGTGTTCGAGTGGTGGAAGGGCAGCCATGTGTCAAGTAGGCTTGTGTGGAAATATATTCTCGTCACTCTCTGACCATCGCTACGATTAGATGCACCAAAACAAAGTCTCAATGCATAATTCGAGAACCAAGACAACGAGTCCGACAGTCGCGGGCCAAACCGTAAGTCGTCACCTCCTTCATCTACTACACGGCTGACCTTGATAAACCAGGCGCCTCGCTGAACTAGAGTCCAAGATCACCGATCTACTTGGTCTTCTGTCGCAACCGAACGAAGCAAACTCTGTCGAGGAAAATGTCATGATTGCGGATGATGGACGCTTCACAAGTCCTGTCCAACCGGCCGGTATAGACCAAGGTCAATTGGACGCAGAGTATCCGACTCCGGATGATACAGACCTGGATTTTGTCCAAATGCTCGACTCAACCACCGGAAAGGACTCAGCCATGACGTGGTCGACTCCTACCAGCACCGACAGCAGTTGGGTCACGGATTTAGGTCTAAGCATGACTGCCCTTGATCAGCTCCTCGACGATTTCCGCGGCATGGCATCGTATTTCCCGTTCGTTGTCATACCAAGTGGTTGGACAGCCGCCTCAATGGCCGAAGACAGACCGTTTCTATTGCTGTCCGCTGTCGCAAGTGCCTCGTCAACCTACAGTAACTTACAGCGAGCTCTAGTTGAGGAACTGAAAGGAATCCTTAGTCATCGTGTTGTGATGGCTGGAGAAAAAGACTTGGACTTGTTACAAGGCTTACTTGTTCACCTAGCATGGTGTGTTTTGTTACCACCCCATCTGCAGGACTGACTAACGTATGATCCAGGTTCCATTTCTATCTGGATCCGCGAAGTCAACAGACCTACCAATATCTGCAACTGGCGATTGGAATGGTGGTTGACCTCCGGCTGGATAAGAAGATTGCCGACCTAATGGAGAACGACGCTATTCCCAGCGATCTTGATAGCCATGAGATATGCCGAGCCTATCTGGGCTGCTATTATCTGTCAAGCACGTAAGTAGTAGCCATGCACTGTTTATGTGGCATTAAACTTACGAAACTTGCATAGCATGGCAACGGCAACATCGAAGCCTGACAATTTCAGCTTCTCGGAGCACATACTGTCGTGCGCAAGGATGCTTCAACAAGATCACAAGTTCCCAACCGATGACTTGATGTATCCGACAATCAAGCTTCAGCAGTTCACTTGGGAGGTGCGCGACACATATCAATTGGGATCCATCGCGACAAATTGGTCTCATCCTGATCGATTCATGGCACGGTTACAAGAATGGTGGTCCACCCTATCCGAGGACACGCAACGCGCCGGTAAGATCTCTCTTCCGCAATGGGCTTGAATGTAACTGACGTCAGTCTCTACTACTCTAGCAATAATAGTGTCCGGATATCGAGCGGCAAAGATCCGGATCTACGAAATGGGGCTTGTCTATCGATATGGTCAGAGAAAACGAGCTCCAGCAAATGTCTCAACCCAGCCAACTGCGCCGGCACGTTCGACGGTCAACCATAATCTCATCCAGAGCTTGATTTGTGCCAAAGAGTACCTTGACGCGTTTCTGGTAATGACGCAGCGCGAGTACAATAAATTGCCCTTGTCAGCGTGGTACCAGCTTATTCTCGCCATTATAGTGCTCTATAGGCTGTCTGTTGGTCTACCGGATTACCCCAACTGGGACAGAGAGATCGCACAAGATACTGTCAAGCTAGAAACATACCTCGATATGCTCAGCCAACGTCTGCGACCCACTGAATTCCAGGTTGGAACAGGAGCTCGGGCTGAAAGCAACAAATGCTTGTTCATAATGTTCCCCGATATGGTGGAGAGCGTCAAGGTCTCCTATATGGCGGCAAGGGCGCAACCGATTCCAGATAACTACGAAACCGCCGCTCATGAGGCCTTTGTTAGTGGGGATACCATGCCCTCCGCCCGAAAGCATCGCTGCCCCGGAATGCGCAATCTCCGACGGCTCACTGGTGAGACCACAGAGGAAGATACTTTGTTACAAAGCGCTATCGCCGATGAAGTTCAACAGATTGAGAATGAGAAATTCTGGAACGATTTGATTGTTGCCGATATTTCTAACTAGCTTTTCACGCAACAAGAGAGCACACCCTTTCATTCTTGAAGCTGAACAGAGCATCTCTTTGGAATTCATCTCCACTCACTCAGGAAAGACATGGCTGGAAACCCTCTTCCCATCGGCATCATATCTCGCCGGCAAAACAGTAAACAATCCATCCACACCCCTCGGCTCGAAATCCAAACCTCTCGTCGCTTCAGTCAACACATCCAATCCATAATTCTCCTTGATCCAATGCGCAACCATATCCATCCCTGCAACCGCACCACTCCCGGTCCAGATATTCCCGTCCACAATCCACTTCTGTGCCTTCGTCCACCGAACAGCGGGATAACGCTCCTTGACCCAATTGTACTCGACGTTATTGACCGTTGCATTCTTCCCGTCAAGAACACCCGCCTGCGCAGCGACCGCCGCGCCGGTGCAGTTGGTGAAGAGCAACTTGCCGGCCTTCACATGGCGGCGAATGAAGTCCTTGTAGCTCTCCGGGATATTCGAATGGATTGGGCTATCCCCGCCGATCAGCAGGATGTCCAGCTCAGGGACATCAGCGACAGTCGTTGTCGGGACGAGCGTGATCCCAGCGGTAAGGGTGACCGGCTCCAGCGTCTCGCCGATATGGTGGAAGATGAACTCCGGCGCTTTGGCAATGGTATCGGGGCTCACAGTCGTGTACTCGGTGAGGTGGCCGATGAGGGTCTTGCTTGCGGAGTTGAGGAGATCAAAGGGGCCGATCACGTCGATGGCTTGGTAGTCGAAGAGCAGGGCGCCGACGTGGATGGGTGCCATTTTGGTTGGATCAAAGGACGGTGTACGGTAATGTAATGCAGATAATGATGTTTCGGATGATAATGATACTGTCTCCTGCTGGACTTTGGGCGAGTTATATAGACATCCTTAGGGCACGGAGCGGGATTTAGGTGTGGCTCCGTCCTCCGCGATCCGTCTACGCTACTCTGACAGGGCATGGACAGCGGAGGATATCGGACACCGTGGCCGCGGCATTCAATATAAGGGGTATTTAAAAAGTACGAGTTGACTCAGTAACTGGGATGACCCTTTCCGTGATTTGGCACAGCATCTAGGTTGATCAAGTCCATGAGCGATTTTCAGCATTCGAAATTCAGCTACGGCCCCGGCGTGGCATGGAGGACACGCGGTAGGCTAAAAAAAAAAAAACCGAGCTATTGGTTATTTACATCCTTGCATTGTGCAGCCGTTTATCCTGCGCTATCCAAGGTAGGCCAGGGAGTTCCATTGCCTTGCGTATTCCCAAGCGTCCAAACATCGTTTCCAGTCCAAAAAAAAAAAAAAAAACCACCCTAAGCATATATGAGCCTCTCAATCTCAGCATCCTGATCAAACTGCCCACGGCCCCCCTCCATCTCCTCATTCCCCTCGCGGTACCGCCACCTCTTCCCCATAACCTCCTTGAACTCACCAACCTTCATCTCCCCCTCCATAACAAGCTCCGAGAAAGCCCTAACAGGCTCAACACCCTCAAGCGGCGCCAACGGCACATCCAAATCCGGCGCGAGGAACAGAATCGCGCTCAGCCGGCGCACGCCGGGCATACGACGCACGCGATGTCTAGCGGCCTTGATGCGTCCCCCGCTTAGGATGACGGCGCACCAACCTGTTAGGATGACGGTTGCGTCGCCGGGGACGGGGGCCCAGGTCTTTTTCCCACAGGGCGAAATCTCTTCGAGTTCCAGGCCGGGGGTCCCGTCTTGGAAGATGATTGTGAATGTGCCGTAGTCTGTGTGTGCGCCGCAGCCGTTTAGCGAGTCAGGGCTTGCGGTTAGAGGGTTGTAGTCGGCTAGGCGGAGGTTCACGTTGTAGTCTCTGTGGACGGAGTGGAGGTCCAGGCCGGAAAGGCTGTTCAGATGAGACAGAACGGGCGGGATGTAGGTTGTGCTGACTGTGTTGAAGAACTCGAGGACCTCGGGTAGACCGTGGGGTGCGAGTGCGATGCGGATGGCTTCGGGCATGAGGGCGCATCGCGGGCCAGAGATGTCGATGGTGAATTTCTGGTCGGAGGTTGTGTTGTGTGTGGCGGCTGTTTTGAGGATGCCGCGGCGGGGGTACGTTGCGTTTAGCTCTTTGGCTGTGTCGGGGTTTGTGTAGAGGTGGTCGAAGAGAGAGCGGATTGCGTTGAAGGGGGCTTTGATGGAGGGGTTAATAGTGACGGTGGTGCTGTTGCTGCTGAGGGGGGAGGTGGTGGGTGGAGGAGGAGAGGCCTGGGTGGTGGGCTTGACTGCGTCAAGAGGGAGGGTTATAGGCTGGTAGGTATCGACGTTCGTGGCCATGATGAATCACTGAAGTGGTTGGATAGGGGGTGTTGAGTGAATCGAGAGGAGGAATTGGGGATCAATGAAGGACTCAGGAGGGGTACGTCTTCTTATGAGGAGGGGCAGGCCGTGTACCCACAACTCTCCGGAGCAACGCTCCGATGATCATGATGTATTGTGGAGCTTATTGGCTTATGGGTGTCGAATCCAAACAATGACATGCACGAAATGCACAAATTGGGTTCTCAGGAAACCCGGTAGCTGTTGATACACCCATGGTAGCGAGCACTGCTACCTGCTCTAATAACTCCTCGGCAGCCCCAAGACCTTCTCACTAACATAATTCAGGATCATCTCCCGGCTTACCGGTGCAATCCGCGGTACCAGACACTCCCTCAACCACCGCTCGACATCGTACTCCATTGCATATCCCATGCCACCGTGCGTCAAGACCGCTCGCTCACATGCTGTAAAAGCTGCCTCCGCAGCGAGGTATTTTGCGCTGTTGGCAGCAACTCCGACGCTGTGCACAGGAATGGAGTTGTCTGTTTTCGAGGCGTCGTAGAGGCGAGCGGCGTGGTATGTCGCCAACTTAGCGGCCTCGAGCTTCATGTATACATCCGCAAGTGGGTGCGCAATAGCCTGGTTCTGACCGATGGCTCTGCCAAAGACATGTCGCGTATTCGCGTACTCCGCCGCCCGCTCAAGAGCGACATATCCCAGGCCAAGCGCCTCACCAGCAAGAAGACACCGCTCGGCGTTCATACCGTGCAGAATCATCCTGAATCCCTCGTTTTCTCGACCGATGAGCGTACTCGCGGGCACTTCATACTTATCAAAGAAGACCTCGTTCGCGTCAACCGCCCTTCCACCCATCTTCTTGATCTTCTTCAGCTCCAGCCCAGGGGCACTCTTATCAATGTCGGTGCAAAACATACTCAGTCCCTGCGTTGGCTTGCTGACTTCCTCTCTCGGCGTTGTCCGTGCCAGAAGGATCATCTTCCTCGCGACCTGCGCGCAGGTGATCCAGATCTTCTGGCCGGTGATGGAGTAGTGCGACTTCGCCTCATTCAGCTCAGCGCGCGTCTGCAAAGCAAGCGTCTCAAGGCCAGTATTTGGCTCTGTGACTCCAAAGCATGTTCGCCATTTCCCATTGATGATGTTGGGTATTGTCTCGGTGAGTTGCTCGCGATTGCCGAATTTCGCGAGCGGTTGCGTCGCGTAGACATTTGCATGGATAGATTGTGCGCCTGCCATGCCGGCGCCGGATTGTGTGATTGTTTGCATCATCATTGTTGCTTCGGAGATGCCTGTTTATATTTGTTAGGAGACGACCTTGGCAGACTGCCAGGGTTGAGGGGGGGTACATACCAAGTCCGGCACCACCGTGCTCTTCAGGAAGCGCAATTCCTAACCACCCGTCTTTCGCGAGTGCTGCGTGGAACTCCTTCGGATCACGTTCTTGCTGGTCACACTCTTGCCAGTATGTGTTTGGGAAATTCGCGCAGATTGTTGAGATGGCATCGCGGACCGTAAGCTGGTTCTCCGAGAAGCCCGTCAGGTCCATGATGGGTCGACGGGCTGAGGACGAGAAGAGGCGTCTGGAGCCATTGCAGGCACTCGATAGTCGAGATAAGCTGCGTAACATAATGTCTATATTTGCTGCGCAATTGAGCCGGAGAGTTGACAAACGTGGGGAGTTGGGTGGTCTTTAAATTCCCCGTCATCCTGGCCCAAGTAACCGAGCATATAACCGAGTAGCCGTCCGCCACTGAAGATCTTCTTCTGAGAAGCCATCTCACTCTCCTCCTTCGGCATCTCAGTGCTGTGTCGACGAAATCGCGAATATGCCACTTAAACGTGCAAAGCAGGCTTGTCTCCACTGTCATCGCCGCCGCATCCGTTGTGATGTGTTGCAGCAGCAGCCGTGCTCCAATTGTGTCACGCAGGAAGTTCCCTGCGAAGTTGGTGTTTCGCGGCGGGGAAAGTACGCACTTGCTCGCCTATCTTTCTTGTTTCTAAACCTAAGCGTTGATCTAGATATCCTCGCAAGAAGACTACCAAGACGTCCTTGGAATCATCATCTGCCACTATCCAGCCTCCGCCTCAGTCTCATTCTCAGCTACTCCCGCTCCCCGATCTCACCTCGCCTACCACCATAACATCCACCAACGCATCAACCCTTCCAATTTCCGCAAGACAAATAGTTAACGACTCTACCGTCTTTCTCGGCGAGTCAAGTCCCTTAACCTCCGTCATGGATCCAACTCAGCCGCCAAAGCTGCAGTACCCGCTGCCCGACCGTCTCGCGCCGTCAAGCACCCGCGACGACGCTGTCCGTTTGCACCAGGTCCAACAAGCCGCGCAGCTGGAGTCTAGCGGTGCTCTGTCTTTCCCTCCAGACGCCACCATCAATGCGTTGTTACAAGCGTACTTCCGCTGGTTCCACCCTTGTTTCCCAATAGTTGATCGAGCGGCGGTCTTCCGTGCCAGGACAAACACGCCCGCCAGGACAGGAGTCAGCAGTATCCCCCCTCTCCTGCTTCAGTCAATGCTCTTTATTGGCGTAAGCCTTTGTGACGATCAGACCTTCGCGAAAACCGAGTTCCCCGTCCGGTACCGCGCGAAATTTCTCTTTTACTCGCGGGCGAAGGCAATTTACGAGGCTGATGCGGAGGCAAGTCCGATTGTCAAGCTCCAGGCGCTCTTCATGCTCAGCTTCTGGCGCGGCGGGCCAAGCGAGGAGCGTGATGTGAGGTACTGGCTGGGGATTGCAATTAGCCTTGCTCAGAAGAGGGGGATGCATATGATGTAGGTCTTCCCGGTTGTAATGGAATTGGAGAACGTGAATGCTGATGGACAAGGTCTCAATTCTCGCCTCCGCCAAGGGAGAAGAAGTTATGGAAGAGAATATGGTGGGCTTTATACGTATGTCAGTTCCAATGTCTCGTATCACCAGGGGATGTACTGATGAAGGATGATGACAGACACGCGATCAACAAAGCGCCGCTGCTCTCGGCCTACCACCACGCATACGTGACGAAGACGGCGACGTAGAGATGCTTTATCCAGACGACATATTGGATGAGGAAAGTGTCGAAAACGATATTTATGGTCCTCAGAAAAGGCAGGATCTGGTATATCCAGTTGAGATGGCTAAGCTGGCCAGATTGCGTATGTTTCCCACGTCCCGAACCCCTTTGGCATGACCTTGCTAATGTCAATCTGTAGTTCGCACGATTGTATCTACGCAATACCTTCACCACCAACAACCGGACCTTGCTACGAGAAATTCTCTAAACAAGCAACTCTGTCTGTGGGAGTCTCACTTACCGGTTGAGCTCCGTCTGGACCATGTCTCGCCAGATTCGCTCTTCTTGACTGGCCTTCTACACATGACGTACCAGTGCGCCTGCCGTTTTCTTTCTTTTCGCTTCTATTTGGCTAATCGTACGGTGACATTTTAGAAACCTATACATCCTGCTCCACCGCCGTACCTTCCTCGACCCAACCCCTCATGATAGCGGCCAAATTGCCCTGGACGCTGCAACAAAAAGCACGCGTATCTTGGAAGATTTACTGTCCCATCATCTTGTCCAGCATGCTCCACCTCACCTGATCACACACGCCTTCTCGACCCTTTGCATCCATACAATCCACCACCGACGGAACTCTGGCACAATGCGGACGCTGGCTGAACACCGCGCACGACTCTGCCTCCTCAGCCTTGAAGAGTTGCAAAAATCTTGGGATCTGGAAAACTGGGTTCTACACTTGTTCTTTCGAGGGCTGGATGATCGGACCGCTGAGAGCTTGCGCCGGATGAGTGAGAGTCACGTTGACCACCAAGAGACTCAGGGACCCAACGTGACCCCAGGTGATGCCACCACTATCGTGGCTGCGCCTGATAATCTACCCACTGGGCCTCCCGCCAGTTCTGGAGAGATGTTCATGCCAATGGCCCAGGACGACTGGTACGGCTGGGTCCCTTGGGAAGACCAAGCAGATGCGCTTAACTTACAGAACTTGGAGTTTCTGTATCGTTTTTTGTAGAAGTTCAACGCTACTCATTGGAAATCCGAACTTCAGGGCAATTTTTACTGCCGGCTGCCTACAAAGCTTCCCACAGGTACAATATTCCCCGCACCCGAGTCAGACCATCTGAGTCCGCCTCGGTCCGTCGGATATCCAAACAAACAAGGCCCGAAAGCTTGGAGCTATAAATGTCAACCTCCCTGTTCGAAGTTTGCACTGGTCATTTTCTCGTGTCACACTCTCACCAAGCTTTGCAAATGTGATTGTCGCAGCCATAATGTCCATACAGTTGTACGTGGCTTTTTTCCATCCATTCCATTAACAGAATCAAGTCTAACCTCCCAACCAGCAACAAAGAACCCCTCACCAACATCCTCTCCAACAAACCCATAACTCCTCTCGCCGCAACAACACTCTTCAACTCCCTCCCTCCCCTCGAGGCCACCGAACTCCTCGGCCAATGGGACGGCACCTGCGCCCTAACAAACCACCCTGGCATAACCGCCCTCAAAGCCGCGCGCTGGGTAGGCAAAACCTTCCACACAACTGAGGACGTCGACCCCATCATCTCCCTGGATGATTCTGTGACCTACGGGCACCATGCGCCTGGAGAGGGACGAGTTGTGAATACCTTCATGGGCAAAGCGCGCATCCGCGAAATCAAATATAACGGCGTTGTTTCCGCCGCAATGGTGTATAATGACAAGCCGATCATTGATTATTTTCGGCGCGTTGATCACTGCACGGTTATGGGGGTTATGGATGCTGCGGGTGCGGTGGAGGATCATCCGCTTTATTTTGTGCTGGAGAGGTTGGATGAGGGTTCGAGTAAGGGTGGGAAGCTCTGAGGAAGGGAACTGATTAAGAGACTGATCAAATCTATCGGCAAAAATCAGCAGTTGTGAGGCAAACGAGGCAATTCTCTCCCGACCTTCGTTAAAACCATGAAAGCCCTGATGGATCGACTCAGCACCGAGTAGTTATAGGACGCATGGATGGGTGCGCATCACTCCTTCTTGGACCGCCTCTTAGGGAGAGAACACCGGAGCTTGTTCTTGAGCATTGAATGCAACTAATGGCGGGAGTCCACTTCAAGGGCTACCATGCCTATTCAGAACTTAGCACTTGGGGTAAATTCCGAACGATCGGACATCCTGTTGCCCGCATTTCTCAGGTAAGCGAACTTTAAGCGTAATAATTCAATGAAAGGGGTGTAATGGGACAGGAGTGATGCCCAGACAACGCGTGTCAGCTCCACGACTGGCGGAAGGGGATGTCAGCGCTTTACCGGATGACGCACGTTGATTCAAGCTGTAAAAGAAACACCGTTAGTTGGTCTAGCCCAACCGTCCACAGGTTCCAGAGGCACAAGTCACTCAGGCTGGTCGCTTTCTATACCTATGTAAAGAGCACAAGCCATGCACCGCCAAGCTTGACCTCAGCCACATTGGCCTGGACTCGCTTGGGGCTTGGCTGGAAGTAAATAACTTGGGAAGTCGCTCGTTGCATTCTACTCTGCTATATCAGTATACCTGATTCCAATGTTCCAGTGGTGTGCTCAGAGCGAGCTTCCAGCTTTCCCACATCTTCTGCCTTGTTGATGGTTGAACAGAGTTCTTGGTGGTCCCTTGCCCAAAATATATCCCTGCCAACAGTCAGCAATGTGCGACCAGGGGGACAAGATATGGAAAACGCCACCAAGGCCAATAATACGAGGCGCATCCCGATAATGAAGATGCTCAGCCTAAGACGGAACCTTTATCGCACCTTCCGCTCTTGTCGCTGCTCCACAGAAGGCGCGGTCACCCGGAGACGTCCTGATCGTGACATTCAGCAATTGACATCTACCTTGACACGAATAGCTTTTCAGAGCCTTGTAAGCTAAGATTCGCTATCAAGAACATGCGGTGAAGACCACTTGTTTTGAAAACTTGACTGCGTTGGGTGAACTCCTCTTCTGGTAAGTGATCTCTTAGCATAAACCCTTCGCAACCACTGGGGGACAGGATGACTTTGAGCTACATCTGTCAGTTATGTAACTGACGCTCTCTTTGCTCTACGACTGAAGATTCCAAGTTCAAACCATGGGGTGCATGTGGTCCTCTACCAGAGCCGCCCCGGAAAACGAAGCACCCAATCAGCAAAACACCATCAGCATCGGCCTATTTGCAACTATTCACCGACTGAGCGATGGAATTGTCCGGAAGATACCCTGCAGCTCGTCAGACTCTGATGGTCCCCGAGCAGCCCATATCGAGGCGATCATCTACCGGCACCTTGGCAACCATAGACGCATTGCGCGGTGCCTCCATGCCTGCGACGACTACATCGATCTTAAATACGAGCCTTACGCAGACGCAGCGAGCTTCCTTGGCTGTTGGCAGGTTCCCAGCGGAATCAGATACCAGTTCGCCCGCCAGGCTGTGGAGGCTGTCCACTACATCCACGGAAAGGGGGTCATCCATTCAGACCTCGCTGCACGCCAGTTTCTCGTGGACGAGACGTTCAGTCTGAGACTGTCAGACTTTGGAGGCTCGTCGCTGCACGGAGGTGAATCCATTATTGTTGAGAACGCGACGCATTTCCTGCCCCGAGACTGCTCGTCGCCCACGACCGTGCAGAGTGATCTGTTCGCCCTCGGCTCTACGCTTTACGAGATCCTTGTCGGCCAGAAACCTTACGGTGATCTTAGCGACGAGGAAAAGGTGCTGCGATTGTATTCCAGTAAAGTCTTTCCCAACCTTGATGCAGTGACAGATGGTCAATGGAGAGCGGTCATCACCGGATGCTGGATGACGCAGTACAGAAGTGCCTCCGAGATCCTGAACAATCTTCCACCTCAGTCCCTGACTCTTCGGCTATTTCTTTTTCTTTGGAAGGCTTATCACCGGCTGCGACGCGCTGTGAAGAGGGATAAGTGAAGGTTCAAGGTTAGCGGCTGGAGAGGAGTCCGTGGCCCCGGTGCGAGACAAATCTGTTCCGAAACAAGCATTCATTAGCAAAGTTTGTGGCGTTTGAGCCAAAAGAAAGAATGTACCTAGTAATGACAAAGGCGTTTATTCTCTTGCAAGAGGGTGCAGCGTGACAAGCCTTGTAGTCTCAACTGTTGTTTTGGTTCCTTTACTACGTCGAGAAACGAACACAAGTGCGCTTTGCGCTGGTAAGGCATAGAAAACACGTAGAAAGATTGGCGGCTGCAAGATCAGAACAGCGAGTGTTAGCCAACTCTAGTAGAGACAGCGGAAATAATGGACAAGGCGAGGTTCACTCTCTAATCATGAACTTCAATGGGCGAGGTAGAAGCAAGCGGGGGGCAAAATCCACTTGAAAGTGGACGCAACACCGCGCTCTCTCGACACCCACTATCACTATCCCATCCACGGTGAGGGCTACAGAGCCACAGGAATCTTCACAACGGACTCTTTTTTTCTTCCTACAAAACGAAGACCTACAACGCTGATGGCGAAGCAGAAGACATCTTCGGCTCGATAGAAACCGCTCTGGCAAGTGGCAGCCACTCCAAGGAACAGAGGAAGCCCTGTGTTGCGGGGCAGCTAATGTTTGTTTTGCGTGCAGAGTGCCCAGATCAGTCGAGATTACGCGTCTACGTTCGGTTTAAGGCGTACATCATGCAGGCCTACGATCCTACAAGACGGAGCCCTGGAGAAAGGTGTTTGTTACTGCCGATGTTCAACGCACGTTTCGGCTCTTTGCTCTTTTCTCTGCAGCGTGCACCTCGATCCTTCATCAACGCGCGTCATTCACACTCGTCCTGTCTAGATCAGGCAAGGTTTCAGACCGTACCGAGCGCAGCATTGTTCAACTGCCGTCTACCGGATTTTTTTTACACGATTTTCTCGTCGGCGAGTATGTCTCGGGTGGAAGCGCTTGCAATCGGGACGTTTGGATTGCGTTCTCATCCTACAGAACGGCGAGACCTGGACTTGGAGGAATTTGTTGAGAGACAGAGGGAGATCCAGGGGCCGCAGTAAGAGAGGATTACGTTCAGCCGAATACCACTCTCGGAGTCGAGTGAGTTGACAAGAGGAGATGGAAGTCGGCGGGGAGCAGCGGGCGTTGGGGGGGCCCGTTGCTTGGCCGCCGCATGAGGAAACCTCGGAAGGAAAGTGTGGTGTTTGACGCGCGGCAAGGGGTCTGAAGAAGGGCGGGCAGAGTCTGTGCTCGCTCAATCAAGAAGATACACTACAGCGGAGCTGGGAAAACGTCTCGACTGCGTGTACCATACTACATACAGGTCGCCAACCACATGAGGAAGTGGAGAACCCCCTGTTGGTGGGAATATTCACGCTGGCTCTGCTGCTACCCTACAGTATCCCGCGATGAGGGAATCCCCGGGTTGAAGGGCAGGCCAGAGCATAGGGATTCAACAGCCTTCTCAAGCAGCTCAACAAGTGAATAGCTCGATGCTACGAAACAATATTGAGCTTACACGAGGGCTTTCTCTGTGGAGCTTCATGCTATCGGGAACATGCGCTGGATGTCAACAGTTGGATATGACCGCATGCCGTAGTCTGGCGCGAAATGCGCGGCGCGTTTACAGGTAAGCATACGATCGAAACAACCGGACTGGCGGCAGTGGAAGACAACGCCTGCCTACCTCGACAGTGCCGCCGGAACGAAGAGAGGGCTGCATGAGGCGCGCAACAGATGTGGTCGGCTACTGAGCAATATTCAACCCGAGTCGTTGTACCGGATCTGCGGTTGGGTGGCAATGGGCGGCAGCAGCAGCATGACATACGAGTGAGCCAATGTCTCACGGTGCTTAGGGTCCAGCTTCCGCTTACCCCAATGAAGCATTACGGTAGACAATCTACATACTCAAAGCTTGTTCTCCGATCGTGGTACCTTCGCTCGCATCAACACGGAAACGGCGACGCCAGTATGCTGGCAGACAGTATTGTCCAACATGATCCGTTGTCTCCGCGCCAGCCACATTGCCTTCAACTGGAAGGTATTAGCCCAATCGTGAATGAAGGAAAAGACCAAGCTAATAGGAGCGGAAATGCAGAGGAAAAGTGGTGGTATCTCCGCTCCCATCTGAGACACGACCAGGGTGACAGCCGAGTACACCTTCCTGCCAGTGAGATTAACAGGGGTCGAGAATGCCACTCCAACGGCGAGGAACATGCGTTTGACCATCGGACTGACGTGGCCTTGGAGTGGGCGGAGCCTGAGGACCTCGTCCACCACACTTTGTTTGCGCGCGTTTGCCGCTGAACTCTGGGTCTTGCCCTCCTTGCTTCCTGCGCTAGCATCCCGTGGCTCTACGACTTGACATCAAGGAATGGAGCGGTGTTTCTTGGTGGTCGATAGGGACATCCAACCGCCTAGTCTACGAGGAAGACGGACCCAGCGCCTGTACTTGGGTGTCAGCCAAGCATTGCCTCCAGCGGACATGCGGCGATAGGTATCGGAATGCTGGTGGCACAGCCGAAGGCCAAACGGCTTAGAGCATCCCAGTAGGCCCGTGTATCCGGATTTCATCGTTTGCTTTGAAACGCTATCTGATCTGGACTGTCATGCGTCATGGACCGAGAAAACAGGACAGTGCAGGCTCTCCGCACGGCAAAGGGCCTCGGTGGCACAAGTCCTTGCTTCCAGGCTTGGGTACTAACAGAGCGTCAAAGTTGGATACCCCGTCCAGCCCCCGACTTTTGGAACCTGATGTTTGTTGCGCGAAGATAAAGCTTGCGTCGCCCGGCCTGCGGTAGACGATAGCCAGCGCTCGCTCGACATTTCTCCCACGGTTTTCTTCCCACTCTCTATATATTATATATTATCTTGCCTATCTTTGCCTCCTCTCAAGCCCCTCCGCTCCACTGACCATTTTGAAAACTCGGGTGCTGCGGCTGGGCCACGCAACCAGGAACCTGTACCCAGTGACTTTGCTGCAGGCGCGGCCGCTATCGCGCCTGAAACAGGCAACCAAGGGTGAGTCCGGGCGTTGAAGAAACCTCCTTAAAATCATTCGAATGTCTTAACTAATACCATCAATGGCCGCAGGGTGTACGCTGCATCGATGGAGACCAATGGCACTAAAGGCAATAGTGGGCAAGACGTCGCTCGTAAAACACCGACACCACCTCCTATAAACAATGAACGGATCCCCGACTCGCAACAATCGATGAATCCGTGTTTCGAACCTGGACATGCCCAGCTTAAGGTCTTCGGCTCCGTATAAATAGGCATCAAGGAACGGTAGATCCTGTCGATTGCGCTGACGTCGTTCCTTTTATAAGATTTTGATCCCATGCATTTTAATTTCTTCATCACCGTGCCCAGCTGCCTGCCCGTGTGCGTCCACCACGGAGGCCGTCATTTGCCAGTGTTCTGGAGAATGTCCGCTTTAATTCCAGAGCCTCGATGGCGACAAACGCTCCACGGCCTTAGGGCGTACAGAAACAAGAGGCCAATGCCGGAGTGAGGCGCCCCGCGGCTGTGAAAATCCCAGGCTTGAGAATACAGCAGAAGCCCAATGCCCAGGTAAGCACGTTTTCTGTTGGACTAAACCTTTGCTCGCTCAAACACTGATAGCGTTGTACTATAGGTGAGGATTCTGCACATGACGGACTTTGTTTACAACCATCCCAATCCACTCTGGAACGGGCAACCGCGGACGGCTCGCTTCTTTCGGAATTCCATTACCATCCACCATAGATATATTTATTTGTGGTTGATGGCTTTCAAATATTCCCTGACGCGAGCATGCCACGAGCGCCATTAAACGGACCCGATCAAGGAAGGCCCTATGTCACAACTTCAAGAAGGTACGTGTTCTGTTGCACTGTTGAATAGAAACACAAACTAACGATCACTAGTGGAACTCAACCTCACTTACAATGAGCTATGGTATGTGAGCGTGAGATCTTCATGGCGCATCCAACTCTCAAACGGCTGTCTATCCTCCATGCGGATTCTTCAAGCGTACCCTCGCGTGGAATACAGATGGTAGTAGGTGGCGGAGATAGGTCCTAGAAGTTCTTGAAAGGAGGTAGGACATCCGTGCCTTGACAGAGCCGCATACCGGTATTAGAATAATGGCTAATAACTCTGTTCTCAATTGGTTCCGCAGGTTTGTCACCAACTCACGACCTCTCCGCTGCCGTCAGTCCAATGCCGCGAAAGCCGCGAGCAACCTCTGTCCCATTGCCGAAGAGCATGTCGACATCTTACAGATACTTCCCTCGTCGGATACAACGAGTCCAGTAAACACTCGGTCTGCCGCAAATATTGTTAGTTCACCATAGTCCAGCCCGGATACACTGCCACGTACCTCAGGGCGCTGGACAAAAAGCAAAACATCCTTAGACGCGCCCCAGACTCCTGCTTTGGACTGACATGCTCCAAAGCGTTTATTTGGCCGTGGTCACACACAGTAAGTTGACCGCCCCATGCTTTTGTCACAGCTTCCTGATGATCCCCAGATTGACAAGCTACTCACTCGGTGATCTCGGTGGATGTCATCGACTCTGTTGACTCGGTAGCTTCGGCATGTATAACGCAGCGAGTCATTGGCTCAGCAGCAATGCAATTTTGACAGCTCTTGCCTGCGACTCTACTACATGAGGAACCATAATGACAAGATTGGGTCACGCACATTCCTGACCTGGATGTGGGTTCTTGACAGAGAAAACGGGCTTTTCTTCATCGAGACAAAAGGTAGTACGTCGATTCCCACTGAGGAATTTCTGGTCTACGGCTAACAGCGAGTTATAGGTGCAGCAGATCAACTGTGCTCTGGATTTACAGCCTTTTCCCATGCTCTGACACACCATCCTCCGAGAGCCTTGTTGGTTACGGAGAGTTAGTCTCGCCCCTTGTCTACATGCCTTTTTTTTGACGATCTACTAACCATGCAAAACACTGAAGAAGATTCCGCTCCAGACAGTGAGTCTACTCAGCGAACGTGTCTTCCTCCCCTCAAAATCTTGACAAGGATTCGTCCAGGTCCCCCGAACGTCTTTCCTTCGACCGGGCTTTCGTGAGAGACATGGAAAACACACACGACGAGCTTGCAACACAAGGCCTGCCAGCTCCGGATTTGCTCTATGCACCTACAAGGCCCAGTAATGATCCTTGGACTATGTTGGGGCAACGTACCAATCTCTCTGCGCTGCACAGGTTGCGACAGCCGCGTCATGGCTGAGCGTTGTTGGGAGTTTCACACCATCCCAGGCACGGTTGGCGCTGCGTTGACCGGGGTGTTTATTTTTCGTCACAGTACAACCCCAGGCATCACCACGATGAGCGGACGGCGGGTCTGATCGGCTTCGCGCACGGACATGCTTGGGTGGTGCACCGTCAATGAGCTGCAGTGAGTTGGCTGAAACTCTGATTACCCCTCTCTATACCTTGTTGGCTGGCCTTACAAACCGCATCGGCACAGATAGAATGTCTTGTCTCGTCGTACACAGTCCTGAGCGAGTGGGACACGAGAACGTAAGTGCCCTTACTCGTTTGGCCAGCAGTGAGTAACAAATCGTGACAGGACATTGCGGTCACTCGGAGAGATCGGCTGCTATACCATGACGAAGCATGGACCAAGATCGTACCTCCTCCGTTCCGTACCCAAGCAACACTTCTGACCCAGGACATGCGCCAACCCAAGGCTGTCGTTCAGCTGGAGGCTGTGCAAGATGTGTATGTTCGCTCCCTTGCCAACCTAGAAACTGTAGCATCGCCAACACGGAAAGAGGGGTGGAGGTCTTGTCGGCCCTTGTCAAAGGCTTCCTGTCACGAAGACGCCCTTCTGCCATGGATCTCCGTCGACAAACCTTCCACAACGGGCGGACACCCCGGTCTCTCCCACGTAAAGTTAGGAGATGGAGCCGGCGATGTGAGTCTAATATCATGGCAGGAAAGACAGCATCTCTGACCGGTAGGAAAGTTCTGTCCTGCAGAGCAGATACCAATGGATGCCCACGGCCGCGCGGGGATGTAAGTCGATGAACATCTTGGTGGTCTCTCTTCTTGCCGTACTGGCTAACTGCCTTCAGTACCTTCCTAGGGACTCCTCACGCCGTGGAAGATTGATTTGTACGAAGCGCGAGTGACATACGATGGAACAAAACAAATCTGGACCTGGACAGACACGCATCAGAGAACGAGATTCGAAGGATAAGGACATACCGCCACAGTGGTAAGAGCTAACGAGTAATTACATGCGTTAAGATTTGCTCCGGCTCGACATTTGGTGCTGATGCTTGTTCTCTCCCTTTCCGACACATGACACCATTGATAGTCATACAAGCTACAGCTACGCCAAGCATTCAGTGGGTTCGACAAACCCCAGATTGACAAGTTAACTGGAATTACTGACGAGGAGTATGTGGCAGAGGGCAAAGACCCTGCCACCGAATTGCTGCTGGTCGCCTTCAAAATTCGCACACAGCACACAGCACACAGGAAGCTGGCCGGCAGCAAACACCCCCACTGAGCTTCCGAACCACCATCCAAACTTTGCAGGGCTACCGAACAACCGCCTGATCTTGTAGTTGAAGTTGCGACTTTGCCATCATCAGTTCCATGACTCGAACCTTTTGAATGCGCAATCATTCCGTGATCAGGCGGAGAAAATGTCTCAGATCAGGCATTATCTCCGGAGTGAGAAGGTCCTGGTGTTCTATCTCAACGGCAGTAATCCAGGAGAAGCATTTCAGAAGCTCCAAGGCATCTTCTACAGCAATAAACTTGACAACCCGCTTGATCAATGGCCTTGCTCGACCTTCTCACAATCGAATTCGATATGGTAGAGTGATGGTGTGCCCGTTACCACGCTGACTTCAGTCGGATTTCGAAATCTCCTGTTACCCTCACAAAAGGATCAGCCAATGATCCTGCGAAAAGCGATTCCTGCGACGCTGTGCGCTTCGCTCTAGCAAGTCACTACAGAGGCTGCTTATGATTCTCACACCCAGAACATCCTGCTTTGCAACTGTGACTACGCAGTTTGCTAAGCAGGGCTATATCCTTAGGTATGTTGTTGTTCCTCCGCTGCCCCCGGACTTCGTGCATGAGACAGCGAATGGCTAATGGACTTGACCACCGCATGTTTAAGTCATCTTTCTTCTCGCTCTCATTCTCGACAACGAGGCGATGCTTGTATGGGTTGGGTGCAAAATGCGCGCCTTGTCAATGCTACCAGGCTTCGCGCTGAGGATTCATATGAGATCTATTGCGCCCTGAGATGTCACCGTATGATCATCCGTGATAAGCCCCCACCACCGCACGTTTCGTGTCTTCTAGCTAATAGCGCACCAAGCGTTTCAAGTTTGACGGGTCGCTGCGATTGCATGGGCCACCCTCGACAATGAAATCGGCGATTTGACATGTGGCGGGAGTCCCGATGGAGTGCAACCGGCCAGGATATTCTTGCAGCACCAAAGAATACCCCATATTTGGCCCTGGTACGTTCACCACCCGCGTTGACTATAGACTTTGAAGGACTCCATCAAGATCCTGGCTTTATGACGGGACTGAAATTCCGACTACAGGACGTGAGACCATTTCAATGGCTTGTCGGATATGATGGTGGGAGCAGAAGCAAGGTGCCGAGGAGCCATCACCTACTCCTCTATCTGCGAGTTCAACCCTCACGAAGGTATTCTCGTTGCAAAACTTGCGACTCAATGGGTCACGGAGCTCGTCCCCAAGGATAGCTGATGCTTTGCCTTTGCCTAAAACCGACAAAGCCAACCGAGCAGCTTTTGCTCCCGGCCACGGAACTGCACAGGTACAACTCGACCTCGAGTGGACCATGTCGCCTTCCCCAGTACGAGTACGACGGTGAAGCTCATCTCATATTCGTGGCCGGACAAAATCTTCTGTCTAGACCTCCATCACTTCAAACTGCCTCAAGTCACGCCTCGCCTCTTCGCTGCCTGAGGATCAATCCTGACCTTTCATCAATTCGCCTTCGCCCATCTAAAACCAATCAATACTGTGACAAGAGATCGTAAACCAACCACCGCAACCTTACCCATTGTTTACTTGTTTAATTTCCCTGCGTCCGTGCCGTTGTTCGCGCAAGCGTATGCTCATCCACGATGCACAGGAGCTTTTCTGGTCCCGCGCATGTTAAGGAAGTCCTACGAAGTGTCCCAGCCTCCCCGAACCTTCCCCCCCCGCGTCTTAATGGTGAGGATGTATTGAAGGCTGCGATCAAGACAGCCACCCACGCTTCAAATTCTCGACAGGAATTACGCTTGTTTCGCACCCTGGGAGCCCACTAGACACGGAGGACACTCATTGTGGAAACATCGTGCTTGATGTCGCCCCATATCCATTACTGTTGCGAACTGATTGACCACCAGCATTACAAGAGAATCGGTGCTTATCTTCTCTGGATTCAAGGAGTTACGGCTGCCCTCGTGGAATACTATGCGAAGTTCAATGCTCCTATTCCTGTCCGCGCTACAAATCACACTTTTATGGAAACATTTCTCTGGTTGAGAGGGAAATGGCAGAGTATCTGGAATGGGGACGTCTTCGGCAAGATGAATTATACCTCTCCGAAGCCAGATTTATTAGCCTCCCCCGATCGCATACTGGAGCGAGCGAGTTATGGCCTTCCTCTGAACGTGTGGAGAACCCGACTTGCGATGCGGTTCGTTTGGGAGACACTTGAGAGAACTTTGCGAGACTTGAGGTCAAGAGGCTTTTCCATCTTTTCAGGATGCGTTTCCAAGATGTATTGGCGTCTTCGAAAACATTTGTGAGTATGCTGAGCCCAATATACTCGAAGTTTGCCGTTACCTTACTAACCGCGACTTCTCAGGATAAAAAGGACATTTGACCTACCTTGCATCGCCCGTCAGTTCGACAAGTTGAAGATCGAAGTAATGTCGAGGATTGGAGAGACCATGGTAATGATACCTTGCCCGCCGACCCAAGCTTCCAATGGTAAGTCTCCTTCCTCTCCTCAAGATTATCTTGTCAGTACAAACAAGAGGATGGAAGGACTGCAGATTACGCTGTTGCTCAATACCTACATTATTGGACCGATTCCATCACTAACACTGCGTCCGTAGCCATCGGCCCCGGCTTCCCGCTGTGCATTGCCGTTCTCTGCCCCTTGCCCTGGTGCCTTTCATCAACCTGCTCAAATCACGGTCATTTGTGAGCGTAAATACGTCACTACGAACATGGGAGCGCCTGTCCCAGGCCTTTTCGAGGACAATCCGAAAAGTCAAAGAGCACACCCATCAGCCGCGCCACGGTGGATACATGGGAACTTCAACTTTATGATACCGTGGAGGTCTGTCTCCACGGACGAGCCACGGGCCATGCCAAAGTGACCGACATGGCAGACGTCGAAGATGGTCGTTTCATGGTCATCTACGCGTGATGGTATAGCAGAGATGAAATATTGGCGGAGTACACCGGTGGTAATCCGCACTCTCTCCCGTTTCAAAGGGATATCGATGTTCAAGAACGGCCCTTTTTACGACCCCGACATGAATGACCACACAATAGACCTGCACGCAATCCATCCGGTTCGCCGACCTACTGCGGAAATTCAGCTGCGACAGAGATGACAGCACGGAAGGAAACCGAGAGGTTACCACGAACATCTTACCATTTATCATGAACAGGCAGATAGTCCGTGCCGACCAGGTCTACCGAGAAACAGGCTGTTGAAGATAGGTGTATAACTGCAAATGGCACTTCCAACAACCAGCCGAGTCTGAAAGTGCCCCCGTGCCTTTCAAGGCGACGCTTGCACAATGAATGCTCGCTCATCGAAGTTCATGTGTCCTCTGGCTTGGGAGGTCCACGCCGCTGAAATCATACATCTCTTCTATCCACAGCGTGTATCAACTCAGCAAATATGGCCAAAGGTGCCTGGTTGATAGACATATGTTTTTATATCTCCTTTAATGCCAACCGGGAGGGACTTATGCAAGTGAGGGGGCCCCAGCTGAAGTTTACGAATCATTCAGCCGTCGCTGAAGCTCCCTTCTATCTTCCTTCTCTCTCTTCTGTCCCACAGTCCCCCACACATTCTGCTTTGCTTGCCATTCTATAACTACACTACATCACCATGGCGCCCAAGCGGCCGAACTCGAAGGCGTGCGCCGATCCACTAGGATCAAGGCAAACGCTAGATGTAAGAGTCCCCTACCTGCCTTTTGTTCGAAAGGCTATGTCCTAACATAGCAACCTGCAGTGCCGGCCCAGTCTTCCGCAGAAGTCAACGAGCCTTCTGATGTTGGCTTCAGGAACATATGTGGACAACCGGACAGTGACGATGCGTTGTTGATTGAAGAGGCATACTATTCCGCCGCCGGAAACATCTAGCAGTTGCCTCCTTCGACGTTTACATTTGCGCCGGGAGGAAGCCCATTCGTTCAACGGGATAAGGGTGGCCGATTCTACAGAGCCCGCTGACTGTAAGAGTCATTGTCCGCCTTTTTTCTTCGCAAATTCGGGCAGTCTCAGAAGAGGTATGATGAAGATTGGCATGAAGACCAACTTGCCAGACGACGTCCTGCGCCCTCGTGTCCAGTTCGTCCTAGAAAATCGCCTGGACCTGGGAAACATCATGGCAAGCGAGGATTACTTCGCGTGGTTCCGACATGGCATCCGACCTCCGCGTGCAGAAGACGCGCTGGGCATTTACCAGTACCACTCCTGACCCCCGACGTCACGGAGGTCGCCCGCGGCACTCTCCCCCAGGATGAGCGGGAGAAGAACTACGAAGGCATCTTTAACGATCGCGGATCAGTCGACATTGATGGTCTCTTTCGGCCCCGAGCTGTTTAAAGGTATCCAGTCTCCCTGGCTGGGAGGTAATAAGCGCCCTCACTGATCCAGAGACTTTGGTTAGGTTGTCTACGCACTATAGAGGATATACCAAAGGGCGCCAATGCCTCAAAAGATATCCGCTATACTCGCGCAAGGCGGACTTGTTACCAAGCCCCTGACAATAAGGTTGGTCCAAGAAGAGCTCTGCAAGATTCTTAGATAAAGGATTGATGAGTTCCCACTATTTGTGACCAGAACCCATGATGGCGTGGCAGGCGACGCTGAAAAAGTGACCGAGGCATTATACAAGCAGGCAGTCCACCAGAAGCGCCCACCAGCTGATTATTCAAAAAGGAAAGGATCGATATCCGGCGCTCGTGTACAAGAATTTCGCGATACCGAACTAATCTACGACTGTGAGATCTTGGTGGGAACATGATCATGAATCTGAAAACCCGCGATAATGCTAGACGGGTGCATGGAACACGGCCACGAATACGACCATCAGGAGTATCTTAAAATCGTCATCGTTCCATGTGTTTTCATTTCCCTCATTTATATGTCCGAGTCCGACAGAGCGTTCCTTTCGTTACATGCGATGGGATTTCTTATGAGGCAAGTCTCGAAATCAACAGCGTCAGACAATTAAAGGCCTGTCTCCATTAACATTGTCATGAATCAGTGCATTCCGAGTACCGGTACGCGCTGAAGAAAATAAAAACAAAGTACGCACCATGTCAGAGCCACGAAACGAATCACAACCAGCGCCAGTCGACGATGAGCGAATGTCGGTTGATGCGAACAATAACGAGGACTGTGAAGCAGACAGGCAAGGGTAAGTCCGGGCGCCGAGCACACCTCATCGCAGATATTTCAATCAACATTATCAACAGTGGCAGTGTACGCTCTCCATTGATCGAGAATCATAGCACCGAAGCCAAGGGTGATGCAGTGGGCAAAACGGACGTAACCCACGAACCGAGGGCAGAACATACCAGAGATGTCACAGAGAAAGGACAGACAACCGGGTTGCCTTTGTCTGAGGAAGAGAAAGAGGAGGTTTTCACCCAGCCTTCTTCATTTACACTTCCAAAAGGTATACCTCAGCTGGCGAGGGGATCACAAAACCAGAGAAGGCTGACGGAGGACAAATTACTGCCGAGATGGCTCGAACTTCCTCACTGCGGCGCGTACTGCAACTCGAAGACCTGAACTGCCAGACTGGCGGATCAGCAGAACAATGTTGAAAGGCTAGAGGAGCAATGCACAGTCTGCTATCGCTTGTCAAGCAATACTACGCGACGTGGTTGGACAATTTTAAAAGGAAAGCCCGAAAGTCGAAGCGTACGAGTGTGCATTGTATTCCCCCTGAATCACGGACATATAATGTCCATGCAAGGTGCTGGCATCCAGAAGTACTACGAGGTATGTTGAACCCAATCATAAGGAGCACCCAAAGGTATGATTCTGAACGACCACTGACAGCATGCGGTTGCGCGAAAGAAAAAACCGAGACTGGCGCAAAGCTGCGCTTTGCCATCACGGTTCGTCATGTTCTCTTCAAGACGAACACATGAAGGATTGGCACATGGGAGAGTATGATTCAAACCTGGTCCCCCAGTACGGTGGCAAGAGGAACCTGAGCAGTCGCCGAACCGTGCTGCTCACTGAGTTCCCAGAGAGCTATGAAATCCGCCCAGGCGATGTTTACACTTTCCAACTGGCGATTGGATTCACCACCATTGATGATGATATTCTTACCTTTCCTGATTGCAGAGAGTTTGCAGAGGTCTCAGTTCCTTGCGACATTTTTGGGAAATGGCAGAATGAGAAGCATACGTGACCTGGCCTGGGTCGACTTACCAAGAACACCCCTCCCTACCTGGTACTCTTCTCAACGATTTGAAAAAACACCACTATCTTGCACATGTTCAGCTTGGTGATCGGCACGAATCTTCTTCCCCAACCGGAGAACGAAGGAAACGTCTATCGTCGAGCCGTCACGCCCGCGGTCCCGTTCGAACAAGGGGGTTATCCCCTTGTCTGGTTTGGAGGGTGCTTGAGGGTGCCAGCACAAGACAAAATCTAGGGTGTGTACTATTTTCCAACTTTCTATAGCATATTCTCTGCGCGGTGAGGTTGTTGGAGCCTGTTACTTGAATGTTGTCGTCGTCGTGGCTACCCGAGACATCCTTATCAACTCATTAGCATGCAGCTCTGATGGGCGGATCATTGTTAACCAGTTCGATGGGAGGACAGACCCTGGAGTATCAACGGCACCGCTATCCTTTCTTCTCCTCGCGATGAGAAATCTTGCGCATGAATTCCCGAACAGGACAATGCAGGCGACTGACTCGGGGCATAAGTGTCTTGAGGATACTTTTACCATCCACTCCAGGGTGGGAGCTCAATGAGTGGGTTCAGCTTTGGATACACCTACGACCGACGCCCTTCCGACATTCTTGACCAGAAGTACGCACCATCGTCTAGGATTGGGTGAGTTCCATGCGACTCGTCTCACCTGCCACTTCTGACCGACACCAACCCCATCCACATCAAAGACCATACGCCCATTGATATGCTTGCGGATATCTCAACTTCATGGTCAACCTTGGTCGGTCGAATACCGAACCCCTGGATCTACGCCCGCCCTAACAGCTGGAGGATTCAACATCCAACTCGACGAGTTGTACAATGGTTGCATCTACAAAGTCCTCCACCTATTGGATATCACTTGCGGTTCAGATCACAAGCTATGCATCCACGGCACAAGCGAACACAGGCTTGTCCATAGTTTGCAACAACAGTTGACATGTCTGGTAGGTCCCCAATCCATCACAACACACATCAGGGCTGACATCATCTATAGCACCTCGAAAGCACGGCCGTCGAGGTTCAGTCAAGGAAATTTCAAACAGAGAAATGATAAACTAGGTACACGTGGTGATCAAAGCCGAACACTTCTCTGCCTCTACCAGTATCTGCAGCGGTACCGAATACATTCTAGGCGACATGACAGTTCTGGCCGACTTGGCCCGCTGACTGGGATACTGACCTGGCACGACATGGATTGATATCCGATTTTTCTCGTTGAAAGATCTGGTGAGAAAAGCATTTGCGAAGGTTGAGACGATTGATGGAATGGAGAACCCTGCAGACTGCCTCGCTAACGGAAGGTGCTTTGGTCCAGAGCATCCAGTAAGGCAGAGCTGCAGCTGTTGAAGGACTGCGGTAGTTGGATGGAAGAGGGAGACGAGATGTCAACATTTCCATCTTCTCTCGATCCATCTTTAACCTCAAGCCTGCTACTCAACCCCATACCCACTCATCAAGATCAAGGGCAGCTGTCAAGGCATATCTGCGCCAATGACCAAAACGCCCACTATGAACAAGTCATCGCCAGGCAAAGACACTCCCAATGCGACATGCTTGCTGCGCCCGCGGTAATTCTCGTCGCCGCATAGAACTCCGCACAGTGCTGTGGACAATAAGCCATTCGCTCGACTTGCATTTCGTGCTTAGGGCGGTTTTCCGTCAGAATACACCCAGTATCCTATGCTTATCACCAACAAATACGACCAGATGCACGCAGCTGAAATTGCCTCGGAGGAAACATTCAATCAACCTTGACATCGTCCGTGTGGATAAAATGACTCGATGACCTGTCCTCATTCTGTCGGTTTCGCGGCCAGCTACAGCACTGACGGCCACCCGCATGGGCAGAGGTTTGTACCGTCCTCTGTCCGCATTGACGCTACATAGGACCTCGAAGACACCAATGTCACCCGTGGAGGTATTGGATTAGGTCCGGACAATGGTTTGGACGGACATTACACACTACCTCAAGCGTTTAAGGAAGTGTTCGAGTTCTTTGGAAAACCACCCTCATGGGGCGAAGTTTGTACCTTCTTCGTACTGAAGGTCCTAATGGATGCTAATAGATACTAGGACCGGACCGGACTCGCGGACGCATTCCATGGTTCGAAATAGCCCATGAAGGCATGTAACATGTACCCTGGAGGGATTAGCGTACGGCATCTTGCTGGGCAAGAACGGTGGGCTTAGTTGCCTTGGAGGCCGAGACCTTGCCGGCATCCCGGGGCACTTGAACCGCTTTGCGAGATCTTTGCAACATTGCACCATCCGAACCGTCCTCCGACCTGGTGCCCCCTCGCGTCACCTTCATATTGTCGTGCCATCTTACACTTTGGATTTGCTTTAACAGGGTCGATAAGGTGGCTGCTTCCCGCATCCTGGTAAAATCTATAGGAAGGGAAGAGGGCAAGGATAGTGCTGTGCCTGGTTGCAAGTTCGATAATAGGTCCCCACACCATCTCAATGCGGTTCGAGAGCTGCCCTATGGTGTTCCTTTCGAGGTCCTGTATCGTCTAAGATGAACAAGGCTTGACTCGGTGTCGACAAAACAGCTCATCAATCAAAAGACCCGCCGCGCAGTCCAGAAACGCATGAGCGAAGCGAAGGCCCGGATGCCCTATTTTGACCGAGGTTCGAAGTAATAAGCAGAACGAATTTCGACGATGCGAAGTCGCACAAGCTAGGGTTCTCTGTGGCCAAGTTGTTGACTGCATGCATCTTCACGACGGTGCAGACCTAGTCAGCATCACCATTTTGTCACTTGTTGGATCGGCACCTCATTGACAGGCGGGAAATAAATGGCTTGACACCTGCAAAGAGTAGCAGGAGTGTAGTCAATGGTCCTCTGCGCCAGCAGATACTTCGCTCCAAGCCGCACGGGCATCTCTGTATCATCGCGGGATCACACTTAGGGATCCAGGGTTATATTTTGCTACGCATCATGGTGAAGTTCTTTCTCTGGAATACTGAGCTTTTGGCTTCTCTCACCACATGCCCTTATTGCCTGTGAATCCGCGGTCGTCATGGCTCTCCTCTCGGCCATCTTTTGGCCACCTTTTAGACGCAGTGTGTTCTGGGTCAGAACAATAGTCTCCAGCACATTGTCATTCACGACCGGGAAGTGGCGGGGTAGGGCTCGAGCTTGCGGATCGTCCACTGCTACCTGGTTTCTCGATGCAAGAATGCTGGCATTTACGCCAACCTTGTGCGGTGTTCATACTCGCGAGCACGGATCGACACCACCAACTGCCAGCAATAAGAGGGTATCGTCGCTTACACTAAAGGAAGATCCGATGCATCAAGTACGTTAGTTGGCATGGGATTCCAATATCTAAACTTTGTGACGGTCTCTCCTTCGGGCCTGCCGTCGAGCCACCTTGTCCAGTCATAAGGAAGTCCATCAGAACGCTGTCCTTCCGTCATACCGGCTGTTGTTCGGCCAACGGCGTGGATCACAGATGAGGAGTCTATGTCTACGTGTGTCGCCTGGATGGGATTGATTGATTCAGAAATATACGCCCCTCGCTTTCCGCGTCGCCGTTTGTTGGACGTGATCACAGCTCATGCGACACTATTGTCGTCTCTATAGCCCGACTACTTTCCACCTACCCTACTCTACACACAAAGCAATTCCGAGAACTTCCTTTTCATGCCCTTGGCCCCCTAAGAGCAACGGTCGGGTCGATTATGCAAGGATGGACCGCTCCAAAGCAATTTGGGGTCCTGGACCCGTTGGACAGATTCATCAACCGGTAGAGCATGAGGAAAGGTTTCGCTGGGTTATTCCGTGTGCATGGACCATATCAACCAAGACAGCAGAACATTCTTTCTCAGAATCAAATGAAGTATCCATGGTCTACCAGTGGCATCTTCAAGGGCAATATCTCGGCAATGTCATGATGCGGCACAATCCGATGTTCCCATGTTCCCGATTATGTTTCTTCCATGGCCCATCACAAACTTTGCCACGAGTGGTGGCAGTGACGCACAGCGTACACCTCGCGCCCGCGCCGACCCTAGGGCTCTTCGCCTCTCTTGTGCCAGATTTGCTGCTACCCGTATCTCGCATGCTAGCCAATACCAACAAGATGCGCCAATTCGTGACCCTCAACCAGGAACCATGATGATCAGTCTACCAAATCAGAATCATTGCTTCGGTAGTATGTCGATATACAGCCTCCGAGTATACCATTTGCACAATGGGCGTCCTCTGCATCTATGAGCTGTGACAGGCGCACCACGGGAGACATCCAGCTGTATCATGGTGCTTTCCAAGTGGGATTAGTATCGCGGTATCCTGCGAACTGGTGATGTGTCTACACTGTACCCATTCTGAC